TGACTATGGCTTTCAAAAAGGTTAAATGACACGATCTGCTTAAATTCATATCGTTAGCTAAAGATCATGCTCGTAAGTGTTTTTCTCATCACCAGTTTGGCTGGTCAGTCTTTCTCAAACTCAACGTGCGCAAACAATTGATTGATAATGAATTTGCCTTCAATAAATCTTTCTTGACGTACATCCTTTAAAAAACAACTCGCTAACCGTGTTAAGTAGACATGATTTCAGGTTTATAGAAACACAGCCACACTTGTGGGACATTCTGTCGAACAAGGACAAAGATTTCATTTAGGGCCTGTTTATACGAGAAGAGATAGCCCACTTAGTTAAGATGACGCAAGACTTAATTCATATGGAGAGCTTAATTCATCCCACTTGAGTTTTGGCCAGTCAATCATTTGTTAAGTCCCTCGCCTCATCGCAGTGGAGCTGGCTCAGTCATCCCTACCCTGGAATTCTCAATATGATAGTTTCATCTTGTTTAATTTAGCTTGTGGCTATTCTTATTGTTAGTAGGGTGTTGCCTAGTTCAATTAAAGAGAGTTTTGCTCTGATGAAGTTATATTATGTTTGAATCGCAAGCAAAGCCACAGTCACCATGAGTAAGGTGAACTTTTTTCCAAAATTTTTAATAAAATCTTCACAGTATTTCTTCGATTGTCTATACCTCAATTAACTGAACCTCTATTAACTTTCGAGGTCACCCGGAAGCCATCGTTCGAAAACGTGTCCCTCGTTGCGTTACGAGAACTTGCCGCTGTCTGCAATTGGACATAAAAAATAGTAATTTTCTGGTGAATCTGCGTTGTATTTCGGTTTGAGTTTATATCAACCGCATCAACATTTGATTTTTATCATTTCAGTTTTTGTGACCAACCACACCCACCCCCCCCCAAACCGAACAATTTTTGCGCCGTTCTTGTGAAATTCCCAGAAAATTCGGTTAGCCGGCAATTTTGATCATACAAACCGTTACAAATCTGCGTATGCTTCTTTCAACCAGTTACAGAAGGTTAACTCACCTATTGCAGCTTCCTTCTGAAAACATGCTCTCTTTTACAAGACAGTCATCCCCCCTGTCAAATGGCAATTTCGCTCTTATTACCCCCTGAATTTCGCAGACCCAAAGCATTCTTCATTTTCATTCCTTTCGGCTTCTCCACAACGCGATCATGCTGCCTGAATTGGCTATGTCGACTTGGTGTGTTTGTCAGGTAGGAATCATATCAGGTGTTTTTCTATATCAACCATTCCTTTCTTTGTAGGAAATTCTCCGATATTTTGAACTCCTCTTTTTATGGAACTATCTAATGACATGTATCGGTGCATCTGAACTTGACAATAAGGAAATTTGTGTTAACTAAATCCTTCAACCCATTATAGTGAAATGTTTTTCGAAATGTTCAATTGCAAGTACAGACAACAGACAAACAGAGTTACAGACAAACTTTAGACTGTTTCTTCAAACTTTCTTATTAAACTCGACAAGAAAACGACTGATATTTCATCACCAATCAATTCCTTGAATTTGCGCGCTTTGTTGATCAAAAGTAAACTGTTAACTTTAAACATTGTTAATTCGACACTCAATCTTTTGTTTATCTCATCAAACATTTTACTGAAAAAGATCTATAGAGGAATTTTCTTGGACTAGAAAGCATTGCGAAATTACAACTTTGCGTTGGAGTCGTTTTTTGTCTTTTTCTGTGGCAGGTCTTTCCCATAAATTCAAATTTCTTGCTCTGTTTTCTTTCTTGTGAACAATGACAATTGCAAGTGATATTTTAAATAATGCAATTTCAATATTTTAATGCTATTGTAATGGCTTTTTTTTAGCAAACCTAATTTCACAACTGTTGCTATTTAAGATGCTTTCACTCCCTAAATGTTAATGAATTTCTCAGAAGGTTGTTTTGATAGTTTCAATCTAAGCCGAAAGTTGATTATATAATTCATATTTGAAAGTCTTTTTCCAACTTGAAATACTATTAAAAAAACTTCTGAATTATGGCTAATTTTTGTAACTTTTGATGTAACATTTTTCCTTTTCGTTCCTTCTATTGACGTTGCGATTGCGAGGGTCTTTCAGAGAACGGAATTGAAACACAATTTTCCTTTTCGTTCCTTCTATTGACGTTGCCATTGCGAGGGTCTTTCTGAGAACTGTTTGATGTTATTCCTGAGCATTGTCAATTGTCTTTCTAAGAATTTCTTCTAGTTTTTCGTAAAAGATCCCCTATATATTCATCGTATAAGAGAGTTGTTCCAGATTCACACAGTTAGATACGGAGAGTTAAAACCCACGGGATAGCATGAGCTCTACAGAGAATAGTCTTGGCTTTGTTGCACCCTTGCTTGTGGTTGTGCTAGCAGCTGAACTTTATTAACTCTCTTTATGTTATCCAGCGTTGATAATCTTCTCCCTACCTTCAAATTTTCTTGTTATATATTATTTATTATATATATATTATTCTCACTATGCCGTATCTCTATTAATTATATATACTTTCTTGTCGATAATTTATCTTCACCAATTTTTAGTTTTGTAGATTCTCAGCACAGTATTGGTAGATTGTCTTTATGGTTTATAATTACGAGAAAATATCTTCTACATAATGAGTATGAAAAGATTATGAGTACAAAAGCATGATATCGTTTTTAGAACTGGGAGCGTCATAAAGCTATGATAAATAGAAATATAGCTTTTATTGGCTACTTTTTCAGTATTCCCATTTTGATGAACTCGTATTTATTTATAATGCTTTTTAGTAGGTTATTTTCATACCTGAATTTGGATATGTTATAAAATTCACTATTGCTTCTCTACTCGGTTATGGAGTTTTAGCTTTTCAACGCTCGTATTATTCAGATATTTCATCTTTTATACTAATACTGCAAAATTTATATAGCATTTCATACCAGTGTACTGTCCCTTTGAAAACGTAAGGCCTAAAATCTTACTTCTTAAACAAAAGCTTCGCCATTCTTCTTGAAAAAGTCATCAATCTAAAATCTTGCAAAAAGAGTACCACTAGAATGCTATTAAAAAAAGCAAAATAAAACGATCCTAAATGTTTTTTTTACATCTGATGCCTTGAATGATTGTGACTTTAGGAGCTTTTTGAAGATTTCGACTTTGTTGCTTTTCTTTACATTTTCTGGAAATTCATTCCATTATTCTATGATCCTACGCTGGTTGTACTGCATACATAAACGGTCTGTTTCCTTGGCTTTTGGTACTTTCAATATGGACGTGTTTTGAATACAATGTACCTGTTAGTTCTTTGGAAGTATCGTACAGACAGCGTGTCGATCTTTGGAAGATAGGGTAAAGGAAATATTTACGATAGAACAATCAAGCAAGATTTTGTTAACGAAGCGCTCAATTCAAGAAAGAAGTCGAAAATTCACGCGCCTAGTTTTAATGTTTTAGTGTACTTGAATATCGAATAAACTAAAGCATTTTTATAACCTACAAATAAGACTGTCTCTTCTTGTTCAGTGCGATTATTCATACGCAGTACTCAATTATTAAGTTACAGAATTTAAGATTAAGGTGTAAACAGAGAGACTGAAAAGTTAAGAAAGGACATCATATCGCGTGAATCGAAGTCCCTCAAGTCTGTTGCAGTACATGTAGCAACATGCTGTAAATAATTAAACTCTGCTGAAAGAGCTGCGCTTGTCTGTTTCTACCGAATATGATAGCGAAGAAGAAAATATGCAGAACGCTTTCTTCTTTTATCTTTCTGATAACCTGACTATGTGCAGGGTAATGCAAATTCACGGTTCTATTGTTTTGAAGAAAACCAAAATTTTCTACAGGCGGCCGCCTCAAAAACAAAAACAGGTTTACTTTTATTAACCTTTCATATCGTTTCGAGGACTGATCCAGGATTCAAGTGTCTTTAGCGGCACCAAAAATATTTTTGTTCGCATTCTGTTATTTGCTTGCATTGCATCGCATTATTTTTTTTCAGATAGTGACGTTAATAATGTCAATGGGCGTTGGTTCTCTACAATTTGCAAAACAGTTCGATGCACAAATCTTTGAGCCTCTTTCTCGCAATGCTTACTTCGTTTTTTTCTTTTCACCAATGTTTTCACTTGTAAATTCTCTTGGCGAATTCTTAATTGTACAAAAATCATTTTACTCTTTCTATGACACTCCACAAGATGTAACATAGAATTCACGGGTTTTAAAGTCATGTCTTTAATTTTTAATACGTTTTAATATGTCTTAATATATTTTAAGACGCATTATATTCAAACCAAACGAGATGTTTATAACCACCAACTTTACGGTTTGATAAAATTATTTGTGCTATATGTTGTTTGGGCTTCTTTCTGAATTTAAATCTTTTGAGCCTATTACGTCTTAATAGGATGGATCATTTATAACCATGTTGATAACAACCTCTTTTTGCCTATCATCGACGACCTTGAAAGAATCTCATTTAATGAAAGAATGTCACACTAATTCAAAAGAGAAAACCGTCTCTCGCCCAGGTATGCTTGAAAAACGATTAGCTCGTCATAGGTGCAGAGGGCAGAGTTTCGTTGTCTTGAATTTAATTTAGCTGGAGTTTAATAAAAGTTGTCTCCAAGTCATATGCTGGTAAAACAGTCCATGCAAAAATTCTTCCTTTTAGAAGATGGCACACCATCCCCTGTGCCCCATAGGCTTAAGGGAGGGGATGATCGCCTCCGTTGCTCCCATCGTGAACCATGCCTTGTTAATAAAACAGAAAGACCTTACCAGCATAAACCTCTTTTTAATGTTTGGATCTCATTTCATCAATAGATTATTGAATCGATTTGTTTCCAAAATGAAAATCCTCTCATTTTTCCATAAGTTTGTTTTTAAAAAAGGTATCATTTTTTGAGACGAGGAACTCGAATTCTGCCAGTGACACTGCAGAGTCTCGTTCAAAGCTCACTGCTACTACAGAGGACTTGAATTGTTTTCTCAATCTGCATTGCACATTCTTTTTCAGTTTCGTATTGTGTTGAAGAAGAACCCACACCTTGGATTCAGCATATCAGGAGGTTCTGGTGCTCCACCCAACCCGTTCAGACCAGGCGATCAGGTGAGTCTAAGAATTTCTTTGTCATACTCGATTCGATGAAATTTTATATATTGAAATTTTATATCTTTAAAGGGATTTGCTAATTCGACAAGAATTCCCATCGTCCATTTCATCGCACATTTATTTTGAAAGCAGACTCGTTGTTGACGACTGGAATTTTAGAAAATCACATACTGGCCTAGCTTTGCCGAGATTTATCCTGCTTTCCCCCTAGCCTTTCTGGCCAAAGAACTTTTTCATTCATTAACGAGTTCTTTTTCCTAAGACTAACACTTCCTAACAAATAGTGTGGTTTTCTCCAATTATTTTCTTTCTAAACTGGTTTAAGCCATTTCATGAACTGCTATCAGCCTTGGCTTTCATTGAATCATCACATCAACTTTTCTGAAATGTTCATCTTCAACCAAAATTGTCTATTCCGAATGAACATACCACTGCTGCCGTATCATTCCAGCATTTTGAGACTAAGTCAAACAAAAAACGATGTTGAGCTGTTGGCGATTCTGTTTACTTTGCCGGAATTCTCTGCATAAATCGTCCTCGTGTTTCTAGAAACAGCATTTTAGTTCTTCCTTCAGCGCACATTTTTCAATCTCTGACGTCAATGATGATAAGTCACCTTTAATTTTTAATGCTTCACTCGTTATGCACCTGTCTTGGGTTACAGTAAACTCGTTCAAAACAAAAATTATCATGTTTTTACATCGCGCAGTTTATTTATTCTGAAATCCATCGTCTTATAGATAATGTCATCATTTGCTTCAGTCTTGACATTGCTTCTTTTACTTCACATTTGGCTAAAAAGCAAAACATTTTTCAACTTCATTCTTCTGTGCGTATTTTGAATTATTTTTTCTGTTACTGCGGACAGTTTTTGAGATCTTGATTCGATCGCTTGCTGATTTTTGCCCTTCCTTTTCCAAAATTCTCCTATGGTTTTTGCTTCCAAAAGTGGTAAACACTGATAAAGGACGAGATTGATCGCAGTTTGTCCCGCGGGGCAGTTGGCACGCCTCGTGATTTATTAAGGGAGCCAAGATAAGAAATTAAGCTGCAGCATTTCTTAAGTGGATTTCAAAGCGGTAAACTGGGAAAAACTAAGCTCCTCTTACCAGATCTGCTGCTTCTACAAGAACTGTACGAAGTTTGAGGTAAAATCTTTTTTAGGGTTTCGGGATAAAGATTGAAAGATCCTGGTTAAGTTCATCCTTGTTTTAAGCTGGCGCGAATGGCTATTCCGTGTTTGGTTCAATAGAGCCATCAGACGAAATACAGAAAGGATTTGTAGACTTAATATAATTCAAGGATTTGCAATGGTGCATGGTTTAAAGGACCAGATTTCATCTCGGCTTACGCATGTTTTCAGATTCTCATGTTTACGAGTTGTTTTGGTTCTACTTTTTTAGCCCTCTAAACACTGACCTAGACCTGCTCTTGGTTGCAACATGCACAAACTTCGAAGTAACCCACTATATTTAGACTGTTCGACTTAGAGAGACTATATTGATGTCCTGTTGTTTGTTGGGTTTAAAAGCGTTACATGTTAATGTGGTCAAGGCTACCGCTTAAGGCCAACCATATTTTTGTTTGATTCTAATTGTGTGACGAAAAGCGAAATGCAAGTATCTATATATTTAGCGTGACTGCTTAAGATGGATGCCCTGCCAGTACAGCAGATTCTGCCTAATTCTATTTCTTTTCAAATTTGACGTAAATAGATAATACACTCTCTTTTTTATAAGAACCAGTAAATTTAAGTTCAGGCTGACTGTTCTTAATTTTTTCGAAAATCTGAGGCTGGATTGTTCTTAATTTGTTTTTAAATTAAGAGGGTAAAGCAGTGCTATTGCTAGCTTTTTCGCTCTAAGGAGGTGTTCAGGCCTCATTTGCCAACAGAGTGAGTGAGAAAGCCTTAATTTGCTGACAAATTTGAATATTCACCGAAAAAGCACTCACACTTCGCTAAAAATCTTCGATTTTGAGAAAAAGCGTTGTTCAAAGTTGCATTTTGCAGAAGCTCAGCCTCAGCTTGTTCTTATTTTGTTCTTAACTTTTGACCAGTTTTGAGGCTCGTGTTCTTATAAAATTGTTCTTATAAAAAAAAGAGTGTAAGCAAGGTTTCTTTTCGAAGTTACCGATTTTCAGGATGTCAACAAACCTGCAGTAGAAATAGATTGAAACCTGTTTGCCAATGCCTGATCAACATATTTTACTGAATGTAGCTGCACTCATAGCGATTACTTTATCGCATGCACTGTCTTTTCTGCTGTGCAAAAAACAGCCGTATGCTATGCAATTTCTTTAAGCAAACGCTGTTTCTTCGTTACTCTCTGCGTGCAAAGCCTTCTTTTTAGATATGCTGTTTTTCTGTTCATTTTGAAATCTCTGTTGACCTCTACGATCCAGGCTAAATTATCTTGTTTTGCTATCGAATACACTTTAGAAAAGCTCTCCTTAAAGGTTGAGACATATCTAAGTGGAAGCTGGACAAGATAAAAGGGAAGCTCTCATCCAGTCATTCTCCTTATGTTAGATTATTCGTGCATAAGTGTCCTTGTGTGTTTGCGTTCCTAAAGGCTGATTTCCACGAGGCGAAATACGCAGCGAATTCGCTGATGAAGGCATCAAGGCATGCGCAGTTTTGATTTTTGATTTCGCAGCGAATTCGCAAGAAAGTAGAAAAGAGTTCTACTTTTTCTCGGCGAAATATTTCGCAGCACCTCATAACCAGTCAAAGCATGGTAAATTTGCTTGATTTGTAAGAAAACAATCTTGGAACATTCGCCATGCGTGCAGGTCTGAAAATGGGCGCCTTAAAGTTGAGTTTTGGCGGAAATTTTTATATAATTTCGCAGCGAATTCGCAGTTTCGTGGAAATCAAAGATAATTTCGAAGCGAATTCGCCTCGTGGAAATCAGCCTTAAGGGCCGGTATGAGGTGTCCTATAAACCCTCGCCGCGTCATATTTTTGTGTAAAACTCGTGATTATCATCCGTATCTACTGAGTTAAGGTGACAATAAATAATTAAAATGTGCTTGTCGTTGTGGTTTGGTGTTTGTCGCAAGTGTTTCTCTGATAAAAATATTAACGAGCATTTGTAGGTTAAGCCCATCAGATATCATTGTATAACCATAATTTTCTCTATTAGGTTCACCTTCGTGTGCCCTAATCAACCAGTATTCGGACAGGTGTGCCCAGCTAATTTCTAAACACGCTGCATATGTCATACTGCTTGTTTGTCTGTTGCGTTTTAATTGGTTCAGCGGCATACCACTGAAAATATCATCGTTCAGAGATCGATCGTCATCTGGAATTATGAAGGATTAAAAGTTCCCAAAAAAGATAACAGGGAATTTATCTTTGTGGTACAATGAGCGCCTTCTTGACCCTAGTATGGCCCTGTGTTACGATCTTATTTAGTAGTGTTTTGGCAAAACAAGCTTTTTGACTTCAGTTTGTTAGGCGAGGTAAAAACATAGTCGCTTCTTGATGCGTTTACATTGAAGAATCTAATCTGCGGTGTTCTGCAGTTGGCTTGGTCCCAGTTGTATTACGGGGTGTGTTTCGTCAAAAGACTTACATTGCATGATCATACGTCATCACTTCTTTATTTTCGTTTCTTCCTTAAGACGTTTCATCGGCAATCCCTTGTCTAAAAGCTCTTTCAAAGAGATATATGTAGCTTCACTTTTAAATGAGTGGCTTTTTTAGCAATTTTTCACTACGATGTTTGCATTCTTTGCAGCCAAACCTTCAGCTCTGCTTCTTTCATTAACCATGCCCATGATAACAATTAAATAACATTCATAACAATTCATTTCTGGTTTACTCGCCACACTGACAGACCGATATTTTCTGGAAATCACCAAGCCTTAACTATCTGGTTTTTTCATTAGTACAACCCAAATTTTGATTTGCAACCACAAATCCAGTATGAATTCTTAATCTGAGAAGAGCTTTATGGAATTCGAATTAGATCATGTCAAACAAAACATTTTGTGTATGTGTAATAGTTTTTTCACACTGGAGAAAATTTGACACTTGACACAAGATGTTGACACGAAGCGCATTATACGTGAAAGGCCGTATCAGTTTATTGTAATAAGTTCTAAGCGACTTTTATTATGATATGCTATCTTTTCCTGACGAAAATCAGCGCTATGAGATGCATTGAATTCTAGTTTATATCATTACAGTATTGCTTTCTTGCACAAGCGAGTAATGTTTTTTCGAAGTTCCAAAGTAAACAGCGAATGAATTATAGTTCCACAGCAGTTTTGGTTGATTTCCACAAGACTGAAGTCTTAGTCAATCCTCATGACTTCAATCTTACACAATATGATCTTATTCTCAAATAACCATTGTTACTTCAGTTATTTTGATATTATCTTATTTTGTGTAGTTCAATTGACTAGATGTTCTATATCTAATCAAGGTTGATGTAAAAGGGACAGAAAAAGGTCTTATAACCATTTGAGGGTGGTTCTGGAGAAGCAGGTTCAGTAGAATGACCTTTTGAAAAGAGAACTCATGAAATCCCTACCCCCCCCCTCTCCCACTCCCCCTCAAGATATTCCATGTTTACTAAGAAAAACTTTGCTCTATGCCCTGGGTACCAGGGTCTCATGAATCCGGGGATAAAGTATTGTAGCCGGCTGCAGTGGCAAAAAATTGAGTGGTTACCTAGCCTCGCTCAGAAAATATTTCTGTGACTAGTTTCAAACTAATTTGTTGAGACTAAAGAATGAGTTTTTTGAGAGATACTCTGGCACCCAGGGTATGTGCTATGTTGCTAAAAATATTGATATACAACTGCCTTAATTTGCTGGAAACAAAACTTTTTGAAATGTGAATGTGCAAATGACCATTCATTAGATTCGACTCCTTTCTAACGCCCCTCCCCTTAAATGGTTCTAACCTCCCCGACATATGTTGTCGTTAGCCACCAAAGAATCAATTTTCAAACTCGCTGTTCAAATTCAAATTTGCTTTGCTGTTTTGCAGGGGATTTTCATTACAAAAATTTTACCAGATGGTCCTGCAAAAGGAATTTTGGAGCCTGGCGATAAACTCTTAAAAGTGAGTACTAAATATATTAATATTTCATGAGAAGTAAATCTTTTAGCTTTATTTTAAAATAATCGCCGTTTGGAACGGCTTTGATTGATGCAAACTTCAATTTTGCTGTTCTTGGAATCAGTATCCTCCAAGATAATCTCTGTTTGCCTAGTGCATAAGTCCGTCTTACACCAAGCAGTGCTTTCATGTTGACCTGACGACCGTTGCCTTTCAAGATGTAGGGGGCTTGAGTTTATGAAAAGCTTTATCAATCTGTTAAGTCAGATTCAAAAGCTTATTTATTTTTAACGACTGCACAGGAAAAACCTTAACATCTTTAGAATGTGATGTTATATCAATAGTTTTGCTAGTTGCTATTTACAAATGTTATATTATGTTTCGTGAATTTTGGAGGCCATGACTCTTCTTTTAAGTCAGAGATGACATTTTAATTGATCATTTTTTATTGTTTCTTTGACAACCATACTATTGTTCGCCTATGCGTTAAGTCTTGTCATTTACAATATTGTAACTGCAAGCAGTTAATTCATTTTATTTCAAGTACCCTTTTTTAAAGTATATACAATGTTTTTTCTTAAAGGTAAATGGTTATGATTTTACACAGATCACACATTCGGCGGCCGTAGACGTATTAAAATCATGTGACACCGTAGAACTGGTCTTAGAGAGGCCACTCGTCGACGAATGACCTCTTCTGGGTGGAATATTCAGTGGCCTCGTAGTAATGTTCTTTATGAATTTAGTGCATCGAAAATGTTCAGAGCGTACAGTCAATGCCTCTACAAATAAAGGTTTTTGATCCCACTTCAGCAGATCACCCTGTTTCGTATATTAATGTTATGTCTCGACAGAACTGGGCAATTGTATAAAGATCTTTAAGTCTATTTTTTATACACCAAAGTGTTCTCTATGTTTGATACGATTCGCCATTAATGGAATGATTGGCTGGTGGCACCCATGCTTAGCTTTTCTGCAGATATACATAAATATTCTGTTTGCTGTCCAGCCTTGTCAACTTTCATATCAAAGTCATTTGACAGTTTTCAACTCCGTTTCGTTCTGAATTCCCTTCTGCGAAAAATTTTCTGAGAGCCCGAGCCTGCTCCCGTTGATTGATTGCTCTACATTCATAGAGAACGCTTTGAGATGAGGAGATTTCCTGTTTATTCCTGCTTCTACGTTTTGAAACAGAGTCGATCTCAGTTTTAGAAGAAAACGTAACACGGCATTTATTTAGTCTTCATTTTGGATTTATCACTCTCGCGTTGTTTAATTCCTCTAATGTTATATCATGTTCCACAAGATACTGACTGGATTAAAAACCTGGACCTTAAAGTATGTAAATAATTAATAAAAGTGTAGAAAAATCATTGATAAATTTTGCATATACATTTAGGAATCACTGTACTAGTTAGTCCCATAATTCCATAGGACAATGCGATACACTGATGAGGCGTCTTATTTACCCCCAATCCTTCTTAATTACTAGAGAAACTGTTCAGAATCATCACCAGCCGCAAGAGCCCTTGTGCTTTTCCCGGATGCTTTTCCCAAGCTACCTTCTCTTGTTCTCTATTCTTAAAGTCCCTAGAAGCATTTCATAGACTCGGTTTTCTGATTTTCGCAAGCCATTCTCTCCTTCCAATGCCAATGTTACCTGTTCCAATAGCTAAAACAATTTCTCTTTGATACGCAACATAAAAATACCCAGCCAACAACAGCCAAATGTTAGCCAAATTGCCAATAGTTTACCTTTAATCAAAATTATCATTTAGTAGTTTTTATAGTTTCTAGTTTCCATCCTGTTATTTATGCTGCGGAAAAATCACACTGCAAACTGATATCCGTAATGTTATCGAGACAGTTTACCATCGAGAGCGAAGTAGTGTAATCTAACATTTTAACCAGAACATTTTGTTTGAAAGCACGGATGTTATGATATTCTTATTATCAGTGATGAAACCTTGTAAATAGTTTTTGTTGCTGTATTATAAAATGGGCAGCCAGGCGATTTATGACTTGCAAGATGTTGCTCAGGCAGAAACGCAGAAATAACGCCGAAATAACGCCGAAATAACATATTGGGACAGCATAACGCAGAAATACAAGTTTGTTTAAGCCAAACTCTATCGAAACCAAGCGGCCTTACGTCTTTATTCCCATAAATGATCTGCGCTATGGTGATTTGTTGTCAAAGCTGTGCTCAGCAAAAAAACTTCCAGAGTTAAATCCAGATAACTGTTTGGTATTGTCCTGCTAGTTGTGCAATTGATTTGGTTTGAGGCATATACATTAATAAGAAAATCTTTAGCTAATCAAAATAGGCCTTAAATGATGATGAGTTTAAATGTTTTTATAGCGAAGTATTATCAGGTTAGGTGTATGGAAGACTAACTTAGTCCACTGTCTACGTTCATATATAGCTTAGGCCTAATTGCGAGAACTGTTCAAGACATAGGATTAAAGCATCTTGCAATACATTGTACTGGAATTAATTTGTATTTCAACATTTTTAAATTCTTATTTAGGCCAGTATACATCTAAATAGAGTTATCTTTTCACAATTCTGAGCTCTGCCTTGACTTGCTAATCATTTTTGTAACAAATGTGTCATTTGGGGACTTGCAAATACGTTGACACATTCATTTTTGCTCTTAGACCTTCATACTTAAGTCAGGTTAGCTTGAAGAAAAATCAAGTTAGATTTCTTAGAGTACGATTATTTTTCGGCTGATGCATAAAGGCCAGTGTTTTTACCTGTGAAAAGATAATGTATGTGTTGTTAATGAATTAATTGTAATATAGGCTGTCACCCTTTTAAGTCGTTGTAAGCATATTTTCAAGATTAATCGACCTCACGGTTTCGCGATATAATTATTGTTATTCTTATTGTTATTATTATTATCAATTTTAATACCCAGTTTCTCTCTTTATGTCTTTCTCGTGTTCCCTGTCTATTGACATTCTAAGAAACATGTTTACTGTTTTACTCTTTGCAAAACCAGTTAGCGGCCTGCGTCAATTGTTTTTGTTAGGTATGCATTGTGTGAAACGATAGGTGATGGTTCCATTCAATCAACCAGTGGCAATTGAGCCAAAGAGAGGGTCTTCGAAAATGTTCTGGTAAATGGGATTTGCTTATTTAGGCATTGGAATTTGGACTTAGGTAACCGGAACGAGAAAAATCATCTCGACACGTTAGTTATTTCAAAGGAGTAGACATTTTCATAAACGAATTGAAAAATAGAAACTGCATTGATGTGGGCGTAGTCAAGCATTGAGGAACACGTGATTTGGATATTGCAAGCTATAAAAGAAATTGGAAAAACAACATTTGAAAGAAATTGGAATGAAGAGATATGCTATGAATAAAGGTAACCAGTATAGAGAAGCAAATAACAATGTCTAAGATAAATGAAGTTTGAAAAATTGTCTCTTCGCGAAGATAGAGTGATGTAATTATATTCTACAAAGTCAAAATGAAAACTGAAGTACTAGATATGTATGTTCACGCACATTTCTATGTGTGCAGAATACAGGCGCGTTATTCCTTCGTTCTTAGCACAATAAAAGCTGTCTTACAAGTAAACCAAGAGGAACTCTTAGCTACTGAACCAATGAGTGGTTTATAATTAGAATGTTTCAAACGTTATGGGCGTGACTCTTGCTTACATTTGTAACGCTATTCTCTTTCTCTTGTTTAAATTATGAAAGATCAAAAACGATAATGAATTATTTAAACTAAACTATACTTTTATTGGTTCTTGATCATTGCCGAGTTCTTGTCAGATTTCTTAATATTCTTAGGTATGAAATCTTTTGGAAAATATCACACTTTTGACATTTCTTGATTTGAATTTTTCATGCTCAGATTGATTGGAAACGACATTATCCTCTCTTCTAGAAAAGTTGAGGAAACGAGGTGGCATTTCTTCCCATTATTGCGTAATAGCCTCTCTCTCGCAAAGAGGTTGATAGAACAGGACAACAACTATGCAACACATCATAGATGCATGTTATTTCATATTTATAATATAAGGATTGGTCCGAGAGGTTGGATTTCACATTAGATACAAAAATGCCGCGGCTGTGTAACAAACATTGATAGTATATTTTTCAATAAACAGTCAATAAGCAGAGAAGAAGTTGTTGCTACAAAAGAGCTGATAAATAATACGAGATCGAATCAAAATTTGGTGGTGCCATTAGGCCTGAGCGGATGTCGGAGAAAAGACTTACCGGTGGCAATATTTTATGCCCCTTTCCAAAGCTGACTGATTCGACTCTGTATCTATAAAGACACTTTATTGAACGCATGTGTTTTGTTTTGGTACACTAAGCTGTCCAGATGATTAAGATATCGTCCGGAAAGAAGAAAATAAAAAGAATCCTGGCGCTTCCAGGTGCCGCGGCCACGGGAAGAAATTGGCGTAGAAAGGAAGACAATAGGGATGGTTCTGTAAGTAGATTAATTGCCTTGGGAAACTTAATTACTTTCAGAACTTCATGTAACTGGTTAAAGATATAAAAAAAGCTCTTACTAAAATTCTATTTAACGAAAATAGATTGTGGCCACTCCAGATAAAATATCTTGCGGTTTCAAGAAAAGTAACACTCAGTGATGCAGAATATGGAAAAGCTAGGGTACCTGTAGTAGTGATGTTTATCAGTTCCATTTATCACGGATTAAGCCTGTTTATTTTTAAATAGTTAGTGCAATTTTGTTAAAAATTTATACGAAAAATTTGGATGCATACCCTTGCCCAAGAATTCGGCAAATATACTAGTCGTTGGTTTAGGGAGCTTTAAAACAACTTGGATACTGAATGATATGTAATTAATATATTACCTGTTGAAAAAAAATCTGTCAATGACATGATTAAAGCATTTCATGGTATATATTTATTTACTTTGATTTCCTTTGCCTTTTATTAAATTCATCCAGTTATTCATGTTTATAAGAAATTTTATAAGATCATTGAAATTTTTTCATATAGAAAGTTTATAAGATGATACATATTTCATACCTAGAGTGAAGGAACAGGCAAGCCAAGTGTTTATCATGCGACTGTTATCATCTTCCTGGAGTTCTTTGCATGGGGCCTCCTAACCTCTCCTTCAATCACAGTATGTTGTTTTTTGACAATTCTAATTTTGTTAATCTGCTAAAGGCATTGAACCAAAATCTGCTGAGTCATGATTTTTGTGCTGCAAAGCTTTTGGTTGACCTTGAACTGGTCACATGAAATTGCCTTGCACTGATCAACAAAATAGTTTCCATCAATAGCAAGTTGGCGACAACAGATGCCAATATCACATGAAACTGCAGTGATCACACCAAAACCAAATGACGCCCCTGTAAAGAAGGACTATTTAACATGACTCAATTCCTTTGATTTATGAACATATTTTCTATATTATTAATGTGTATTAATCTATGTCTGAAAAGTTATATTACTTTAAGCAGCCCACACAGAGGTGGTACCAGAAATTTTCCGACAGAGGGGCTGGAGCTTCCGACAGGGGGGCTAAAATGACTAAAATAAGCAGTTTCATACGTTATTTTGTCAAATTTGCTCTGACAATAACCTAAAATTTCCTCCGATGGGGGGGGGGCTAGATGCTTCCAACAGAGGGGCTGTAGCCCCCTAGCCCTCCCCTGGTGCCACCACTGAACCCACAGCCTACCATTTTAAAAGGCTATGCAAAAAATTTCTCAAATCTAAATGTAAATATTAATGTGAGATAAGATCAAGTTTATTAAAGTTACTGAAGTATTTAACACCTAAGTCTGTCATATAGCTGCTGTATAGGCAGAGATATACATACTTTTGTGTATAAAACTGGACCATTCTATGCTGCAACTTTGAGTTTCATGCTTAAAACTATTGTCTGGAAAAAATATTGTCTGGAAAAACTATCAGTATCAGTTTATGTATTAATTGTGATTTGTTTTTCAATTTCCACTTAAGTAAACATCATTCTAGATACAAGTGATATTTATCAATATTCAGGAAATATATTTCCAATGAATCTAAATATCTTTTAATTGTTTTGCAAAAATGGCTATTTTCTTTCTTTGTTTTCTTTTTGAAATAGAAAGTTTTGATAGATTTTCCTAAATAAGACACTTTTCAATGGCTTGAAATTATTTTGTTTTCCAATAAGGTAAAAATATTTCTATTTAAATCATTTTTCATTGCACAGTTCCTGGCACTGCATTTATAAAACTGCCTTCCAAAATATGTTTTTCTTTCTAACCTGAACCTGGATTTGATGGCAATGATAGGTTTAAAAAATATTGGCAAGGCTGGGATTAACATGTATGCATATGGTGTCAATTTGTAGTTTTAAAGATGTCTTATTGCAGCCTTTGTATGGTATATAGATATATATATTGGTCATTGCTTGCACAGATATATTCGTAAATTATAATCATTAATTGTTGAAGTAATTTGTCTAAGACAATGTTTATAGGTAAATATAATATGCCCTTTGACACTTAGCAAATCAAATATTTTGTTTGAAAGCCTTTGACATTTGCTTTGCTCTTTTTTTACTAGGTCCTTGGGGAAACTTTTGGTGAGCACACCTTTTTAATGAATGGACTTATTCAAGGAGTCAAGGTATAAATCAATTTCTCATGATGGCTTTTTTCTGTGTGTATCAGTTTTGTAGTCATAAATTATTTCCATTATTGAAAGCCTATTAAATGATATCTGCTAATGAATGATTTCTTATTTTATTTACAGGTAAATAAATCAATCCATTTTATTTTCTAAATTTATAGTAAAAGTTGAAAAAAAGAATTTCTCAACAAGAATTTCTCATTAAACTATGATAAAGCAATGTGAACAACTTACTGTTATTAAGATGGCAAAATTTACTTTAGGTTTTATAATTATCATCTACAAAAGTACTATCATGATATTCTTCCCATAATTTAGAAAGAAAAAAATTGAGATTTGACCAAGACTTCATACTTTTGTTAGCTGGTTTTTCATTTTAAGGATTTCCATCAAAAGATCAAACTTTTGATTATTTCAGAAGTGATTTTCTAAGAATGAGTGTTTTTCTAAATGTCAGCTGCATTTCTCTGTTTAGATGGAATGTCTTTGCCATCGTTGTCCTTTTTCATGTGCAGTAGCACTGTGCCAGATAGACAAAAGTGATAAAACAATGAAATTGATTGTAGATCTGATCAAACTCATGATACAAATAATCATACTTATAACAAAATGAGTTTCTAAATTAACATATCTTCTGTGGGAAAAGCAAATGATAGGGCGGGTGTGTCAAAGTGAAAAGTGATAATGTGAGGTACTGAGAATGCTGTATAGTGAGCATGTGATGGAAGGAATGAAAAGGAAAACTAGTTTAAATAGGTCTATACAGAGAGTCACTACAACTTCTCTCCTCTTATTCAGAAAAATCTTGTTTACTTTCTCCTTATTCGTATTTTTACCTCTTCTAGGGGCTCTTGTCATTTCTTAGTGCACCTCTCATTGGTGCATTGTCAGATGTCTGGGGAAGAAAGTCATTTCTGCTAGTTACAGTATTTTTCACTTGCCTTCCAATCCCTATCCTTAGGTTTAATCCTTGGTAAGTTTTATTTGCATATTTGCTTATATGTATCTTGAAACAAATAATTCAGGTTTTTAGAACAAAATTTATGTTTGGGGACAGGATACTTTAATAGTATCAGTCTTTGATGTTTTAATATAAGTTAATATATCATGAAGATAATGTAGTATATGCGTAAAGAGTTTTCAAAGCATATTCATTTGAAGCATATCCATTGATACATTATCATGGGTATTAGACAAGCCAATATGTGCTTCCTCTACCACAATCTAAAGCTATAGGCACATAGCTAATTGCCCTGACCTAGCTGCTAATCACAAGAAGTTTGTCAATAAATGGTAGATGTAGAATGAAGAATAGAGTCACATTACACATCATATGTCAATTATATGTCACATTTCATAATGGATTTGATTGTGATAGGTTACTGCAGGTAAAAATTTTCACCCAAAAGGATTTCTTTGGTTAAATTTCTCATAAATTTGTTCAAAATTTATGCAGGTACCGGTAAACAATTGATATCAAGAACATTAGCATCATGAAAATTTATGTCTTCAGGCCCTTAATTTTAATCTGAAGTCAGAAAAACGATTTTCAAAGTATATTTCAAAATGAGGCCAAATGATTGACTGGTATATCATGGGCCCTGCTAGAGGGGTGGCTGGGGCGCTTAAGCTCTCCCACTTTTTGCAAAAAGCTTTTTAAAGAAAATAAAAAGAAGAAAAGAAAAGAAATGGAAGAAAATAAAGTGCGATAAATCCTTTTATTGCTTCAAAGTAATATGCAGAGGTCTATGAAGCCTTGTAAAGTAATTAATTTCATTTTAAGACAGGGATTAATCAAACATACTAAAAGTGTGCCTTAAAAGTAGCAAAATGTTTTTCATTATTGCAAGAAAATCGCTGCAAGAAATATTCTAAAATGTATTTTTAGCTTATCTAAAGGATGTGGTTGTGAAAAATTTCTGCTCGTTACGCCTAATGTATAACTTTACTTCAACCCTGAAATTGGAAACAGCTGTATTTTCTGTATTTTAATAAAGTATACTTGTTTGTAAATTAATCCTGGAATTTCCAAATGTTTGTAAATCAATGTTGGAATTTTCAAAATATTTTTTTACATCTGGTATGTTTTAAGATATTTCATTTAATAAATATTTTGATTGAGTATTGTTCATAGACATTAAGATATTTGATATTTATTGATAAAAATATTTAATGAAACTTTAATTCAGCGTTTCTTTTCAATTGACAAACATTTAAGTGAATAGTTTTTAATTATTGGTGTTGGTGTTGAACCATGTTTTCCATTTTTGAGAGAATATAATAACATCCCAAGAATGTTTTGTTATCTGTCCTTTTGTTGTGACTTCTGTAGCTTCATTGTGTTATTCTACTAAGAGCTCCATCTGTCATTTGTCCGTGAATTTAAATTAAAGTCTTTTCTTCTAGGTGGTTTTTTGCCTGTGTTTCAATATCTGGAGCATTTGCAGTCACATTTTCTGTAGTTTTTGCATATGTTGCTGACTGTACAGATGAGTCTGAGAGAAGTCAGGCATATGGACTGGTAAGAAAATCTTAGCGTAGATTGGTCTCATGATTTGGAGTGTACAGTTGAATACTTGGATTGCACAATGCTGTTTATCTGTCTGTTATTCATATTTTTCTCTATAGTATTTTAGAAATTTTTTGCTGTAATGAATTTTAAGTAAATTATTGCACATTTGTGCCAGAGATAAACTGCATGGTAAAATGAAAGAACCATTAGAAAAAACACTTTTCAATAGGGCCATAATGTTGAAAATAACTTTTTGGCATGACAATTGTGCAATTGTGTGTTAAGACTCTAACTATCTCTAACCAAATTAATCTGTGCCAAATATGCTGTATGTATTGCATTCAACGTTTTTGGTATGAATGAAGTATTTGTTTACTCATTGCAAAATTTGATGCTATAATTAGAATATTTTGTGGCATTTTGAACATTTGATTGTTACATATGCAAGTTGGTTGATCAAACCAAAATAAAGTTCGTTGGGGTGAAGGTTTATATGTAAAATAACACGTTTTTGTCCGATTTATTTTTTTTATTCTTGAAAAGTAATAATATCAAGGTACCTCATTTGCATTTGGGTCATGCTTACAGTGATGCAATTCTCTTGCAGATATCAGCGACATTTGCTGCAAGTTTGATTACAAGTCCAGCCCTTGGTGCTTATTTAGAAAAGTATTACCATGATGGTTTTGTCATTGCCTTGGCAACAGCCATTGCATTGTTAGATTTGTTGTTTATTCTACTGGCTGTTCCAGAATCACTTCCAGAAAGAATGCGACCAGTTTCATGGGGTGCGCCAATTTCATGGGAACAAGCAGATCCATTTAATGTAAGAAACCATTATATTTTGTTACCTAATTTGGTTTGTTGTGAAGGTTGTGAGCTTGCAGCTCAAAAAGATTATTTTAGATTTGTAGCTGTTTTTTTATGTACCCCAAAACTTATTCCTAGGCTCTGTCATAGTCCTAGCAAAATTTCAAATCCTGTGTGAATTTCACAATCTTTTTGCAAAAGTCTGTTTAATCAATAGACCATTTTCAAGAATTTTGCAGGGTTATCTCTCTTGCTTTTTGAGTATTTACATTTTCAAAATGGCAGGCTGTGTTTCTCGCAAAGGTTTTTCTGAACCAGAGAACAAAAAGGACTAAAACAACTGTAGCTTTTTTCCTAGATATAACAAAATTGCTTGTTTTGCATTGCAATTTTCCTTTGAAGCAGAATGGCCAAAAATAAGATATTAATCTGAAAGCACATATGAAGAGAGCTTGAGCACTACTAGGAGTTTTTTTAAAAACCTTCATTGTGGTTTGATTATAGCTACAACTTCTCAATCTTTATGTTTCTAAGATGAATGATATTTGTAATGAAATACTTGGTATAATAGTCATCAATTAAAACTACTTCATCACTGTCTCCATCTTTGCTTGATGTTTAAGCATTTGTCTCCTCTGAAAAAAAACATTGATAGCATTATCTTTTTAATTTGAACTCAAAATGCAATGGCACAAAATGCAAATGTACAAAATGGAATGCAAAATAAAGAACATTCTATTTTGTAATTTTCTATGAACTGGATGTTCTTTGATTTATTGTGTCTTTTTCTCTTTCAGTCTTTAAGAAAAGTTGGACATGACACAGTCATACTTCTTCTATCAGTCACTGTATTCCTGTCATATTTACCAGAAGCTGGACAATATTCTTGTATATTTTTATACCTAAAACAGGTAAATTTAACTCAAAAATACTTTGTTCTTCATATTTACAAATGGCCTGCATTTTCAGTATTTTATCCATAGGCCAGTATTTTTTCAGTATTTTATTTGCCGTCTTTGAAAGCTGGGACCATCCCTCAGCCTTTATCTGTTCTTAAAATACATGCAAATTCCAACTGATATAAATCCTTGCTTTCTCCAACCAATTTAAAGATTTTTAAGGCATTGCCTTCGAAGCAAAAGATTGGATTGTTTTCAGCCCTTCCTTATATATAATTTGATTGTCTTTGAACATTAATAATTGGGTCAATAGGCCCCAGAAGGTGCTCATATATATTTAGGAAAGCGGTGCTCAGCCTGGGGTACATAACATTCAACCAACAAAATAACTTCTAGCATAAAAATACAAATAGTTTTTCTTCCCTCTGCTCGAGAAAGTTTGCAATTTTTCTATATTTCTTTGAATTTCTATATATTCAAGACCCCCAAAAATAAGTCACAATTTCCTGAACTCAAACGAGTAGTTTTACAATTGACTGACCCAAAAAAGTACGTTTTGCTCAAATTCCAGACCCAAAAAGTAACCTGATCGTAAAAATATTTAAATACCCCCCCCCCTGGCTGAAGGTAAAAATCCAGATAGTAACATATTTCTTATTAAACGAAGAATTCAGCATGTGATCAGACTAGTTTGTAGAGGAGACGTTTCTTCTTCTGGTCAATTCGGTAAATCTAACGAAATACTGAGAGTTTATCAGCACACCTTTCTCAAAAGCTGCCAATTGCGATCCAAACTGAGTTAAATTGTAAAACTCAATTTTAATAATTTTCTTTTAATGCCATTAAGCATTCGTAAAGTCAAAACAATCTCCTCTAGGCGATAATACTGCTTAGCTTTCAATGTTATAATCCATCTCCTTTGATCATAGCAGTTTTTGTCTGATATGATTTTCTCTCTCTCTAAACTTTGTTTCTACCGTTCTCTGTCAGGCTCCGTTACATACCTCCTTTAACAACAATTGTAATTCCTTTCTAAATGAAAAAGTGTTTTAAAGTTTTTTCATTAAAGCTGGGTTTTTTAACATATTACTGTTTTAAGTTGCTAAAACTTTTTTAAAAACTATTTTTATTCTAGATGTCCTCTCGTAAACCAAAGTTTTTTATTATCATTCCAAAATTTCGAAAAGTTGAAGAATATATTGTAATATTTTCTTCTATTTATGTAATATTGTTTTGCTCCGTAGGTCATTGGTTTTGACTCAGAGGACGTGGCAACATACATTGCGGTTGTTGGTCTTCTCTCTGTCATAGTGCAGGTGTGCCTTGTTAACAGATTAAGTAGTCACTATTTAGAAACATCTTAAGTTGCAGTCTTTCTTTAGCAGGATGCAAATCAGGTTAATTTAGCGAGAAAAAAGTTGAATTATTGGTTCATAATATAATTCTAGCTACTTATGACTTTAAATTGTATAGATTAAATACAGCGGCATTTGGCTATTGTAGGGATGCTGACCAAGCATGAATAATTAAACGAAATTGTTAATTTCATACTCGAGGTCATTGCTTGTGGTTAAAACTCTAGAAACGATTTTTTAGATTCTAGAGTTTTATTCAAAATATTATTTTCACTCAGAGGTGCATTGTACTTAGGGCCACCCGCATTTTCTTTTGTTCAGTATTGCATTTTATCTTATATATAGGCAAGGTATTGGAAGCATTTGATTGAAAATGCAAAAGGGCCAACATTAACCGTAATTGTCTCGCAGAATAACTATGTAAATGCAATGCTTTGATTATTCTCAGTATTGTACACTCATTTGTCTTTGCTTTCTAGACTTTGGTTCTTGGGATTCTCATCAAAACTCTAGGACTAAAAAATTGCATCTTGCTAGCTCTTTCTTTCCAAACAATGCAGCTCCTTTGGTACGGCTTTGGTACACAGACGTGGTGAGTGGTGTTTTTGCTCTCTTCGGGCTTGAATTGCTTGAGCTTTTGAAATACTGAAATCGTTTTCCCAGTGAACAGGAAGAGCTGATTAAGCTTATATTCAAGATAAATGTATAGTTTTGTAGTGGTTCAAATAAGTGCCTATTTTTCTACACATTGTTGTCTCTTACTACCTGTGCACCTCCAAATTTGAAATGAGTTTTCGTACAGCAAGATTTGAAGATTGCACCAAACATAACATACTAAAGCATTCTTTGTCCGACGCTATTTAGAATTTCAAACATCGGAGAATGACCGAATGTAAGCTGAAAATTTATATCCAGACCAAAAGCATTCGCACCTGCACAGTTGTAAAGCTAAATATCTAAATATCGAAATTCTTAAAGCCCTAGAGATTGAACTAACACTATAAGTCTCGTTTTTCCAGGATGATGTGGGCAGCAGGCTCCCTTGCTGCAATGTCAAGTTTGGCATACCCAGCAATCAGTGCAATGGTGTCATGTAATGCCGATCCGGATCAGCAGGGTATGTTTCCAGTCGATCGGATTTTTAACTGATCGTCTTTTTTTTTGAGGGGGGGGGGGGCTGCTTTGTATTGGCCGCTATAAATTGTTTGGGTCTTTAGCCAAATACAATGTATTGGCGATGGCTTCGTAAATTGTACTCTTGTTGTTCCTGCTTTGATTTCTAAAGTCGTTGTTTTGATAATGATATAAAATGTGTAATTGTTACCTGGCATGCTTGTTTTCTCTAAAGACTCTGTAATCAGCGTTTGATAAATGCATCTCAAATTTTAGGTGTGGTTCAAGGCATTGTCACTGGTATTCGAGGTTTATGCAATGGAATAGGCCCTGCTTTATATGGCCTAATATTCTATCTTTTTCACGTGGATCTCAGTGACAAAAAGTCCACACAACTACGTAGCAATTCAACCCTGCTCCGTGGCTTTGATTCAAATATTGTAAGTAACATACTTCTCTTGTTCAGGTTTTTTATTTAGCAAGCCAAAATGACTATGGTTGGGGCTGTCTGTGTGCAAAGGTTTCTTTGATCTGAGGTTTTATATTTAAGGTGGTTGTATTAGCTGTTTTTGAAAGTTTTTAGTTGTTGGTTGTTGTTTGGAAGTCTTAATTTGGCACAGGCTTCATTTTTCTTTTTGTTACCGAGTCGATTTCTTTTGTAAAATTACCTGTATCGTGACAAGCATAAACGTACCAGAATAGTGCTCTGTTTTCATGAAATGGTTAGGAAAAACGATGAATTTTTGGAAATTACTGTTTATTAGGTAAAAATTTTTGGTTCCCCCGTCACTTGATTGGTCATTCTTTGGTTGGCAGGTTTTTAATCAATCAGATTTAGTAGCTGGTTTCTGGTACATTATTCAGTAGCTGATACTTTCCAGGAAGCCTGGAAATGATTGATTTTAAGGGCCGTTTTTTAGTTGGTAATGTTAGGGAAAGGCCTGGGAGCCTATAGCGAATCCCTCACAAGGGAGGCATTCCGAAGAGAAGGAGGAAAGATTAGCTTGGCAGTTGTTTGCAAATTAATCTGTGATGTAGATAAGAACGTGTAGTGCTAAGTCCGTCTATCTTCCATTGCAATATTCGTTCTTTACACAAGGTATTCGTTCTGCTTTTCAGACCACAACGATACCCGGACCTCCGTTTGTGTTTGGCTCCTGCTTAGCACTGCTAGCTGTTCTTGTTGCATTTTTTATACCTGATGGCAATGGAATGCCTAAAAAGAATAGCGTGGGCTCTCCAGGCAAGGCACGCCAACGATCAAGGACTTCGCTTAGTGAGTATGAAAGCGGTACAGATACACAACTAAGTAATCAAGAGAATGTTTGTCTATTAAGTGATAGTAACAAGCCTGGTTGAACCCGCATCTTCATATATGTGTTCTCCTATCCGGTATAAAGCTCTCTACCCCAGATGGCGTTTGAAGAGTTAAGTCAGCAATCATCATTCGTGTCTAGGCCTCCAAGGGGTAGGACAAACCGAGGCTGCTGCTATCCGCCATGATCATATGGAATTTACTACGAGTCATTCAAGAGTCATATTGAAAACATTCCATTGAAAATGAACTCCAGTTTGCTAGATTTTAATTTGTACGTGTTTTGGAGCTTTAATCCATCTTGAATGTGTAATAGTTTTACTAATGTGCCCCTTGAACTTCGGAAAATGACGGTAGGGCTAGATTTTGATCCCATAATGTCATCTGTGCCATGATTTGCTCATCTGGCTTTTATGTGATCCTGTATTGGCAGGCCAGCCCATTGCCCAAATGTTTTACTATAAAATAAACAGGGTAAATCTGCATTACACATATCGTTGTACTCCGTAGCAAAAAAGTGCTTTTTTTAATTCGCCTCATATCTCCTTCCTGTTTGTCCCGTTTATATAAAACGTTGCTATATTGTTGGTATAACAGCCAGAGTAGATGAGTGCTTTTCCAATACAATGCTTTCCATCCTTACAAATTTAACGAAACTGTCCATATATTCATGATTTTAGACACGTATATACAACTACTAGAGGTACGTGTGCGTGTGTTTGTACAGAGACTGACCCCGAAACACTTGCTAGGTAGCATGCGTGAATAGTGCACGCATTGGAATGTCGAGTTAGTAAAATCCTCGATATTTTCCATGTTGGATTTCAAAACAAAAAAGCAACACTATATTTTTTTCTAATTCTCTCAACATTTATACCCATCTGGGTTTAAAATAAAGTTCTGAACAAAGTAAAGTTATAAAAAAGATAGAAAATTGATTTTTGTAATAACTGTTACGCTTTGATGTTTTATTAAATTAAGATTGCTTTTTGTTTCAAAACGTAACTTTTTTAATCGAATAACTACACGATATGAGAAGAAGCAAAGAGGTTTGATCTTCAAAATTCACTGCAAATAAAGCGCATGTTGCAATTTCAAGAATTGCATTTTAAATCCAAAGAAAAAAATAGAATAGATAGTTAGAAATTTATGTATCATGAAGAGTAATTTTATTATTTTATTCATCTGATTAGATTTTTTTCAATCAAGTGTTTAAATATGGTGTATTCTGTTTTGTTTATTTTGTATTCAATTCCCTTTGCTTTTTGTACCTGGGAGTGCGTTAATTTGCCGGGGGCCAAGACATATTTATTTTGTATTTTTTCCAATTCCATGTTCATGCTACTAGTGCTGAGGTAAAGTAGAATGTGAAGTACCGCTCTGTTACTTTTTTCCCTGTTTTATTTTCTTCACCGCAGTGCAGTACGACCTGCGCAACCGAGAAGACATTGTTATTGTTGCTGAATATTCTGATAGCAAATAAATTTCTAAGGAATCTCGCAATACTTAGAGCTATATTGCAAGCTCTCAAATAAATGTCATGACACATCCTTGCGGCTTAAGTCGCCTTGGAGCAATGAAGCTGCAAGGGCAGAGAGTGCAGTTTGTTCTACTGGGCGTTCTTCTGTTTTGTCTCTAGGTATATCTCTAGGGGCGAGGTTTAAAAACCATTTTGTTGGTTTAGTCCTTACAGTTAATTATTATTTCTCATCGACGACGTAGAAGTAGTGGGCTGTTTCTATGGCCATGAGTTATTTTATTTTCTATGGCTATTTTAAGCGTTCGTGTCAATTTTGTCGTAAGCCTAGGTCCTAGAACGCCGTAAAAGCATAAGCGTTTTTAGTTATGTATGAAGTGATCTGCAGCTAAGTGGGGGGGGGGGGGGGCTCTAGTCAAGTTTGCAAACTATTATGTTAGTTTGGCATCATTATCTTTGACGTGCAATGCTTTAGCAAAAAAGCGAAGGGGCGACGGCCCCCGCCCCCTCTGGCCTGCCTGTGGATAACGAGAAGACAGAAGCAATTGCATATAGTTATTACTGTGCAAAATTCTAGACCTTTTCTTAAAACATTGCAAAATTCTAACCTTCTTCTTTGATTTATTTTTTTTTTAACACATTGCAAATTGATGGTTGGGTGTTGGTCAACTTGACCTTGCATTGGTGAAGTTTAGTTAAAAATATCACTGTTTGCGCAGCAACCTTTCTTGCATTTTATCGCACGCCTTCACCCCATTGATATCTAATATTTACCGGTTTAAAGAAAGTTTGTGCTGACAGTCAGTCACTCTACTAATGTTGAGGGAATAGAAACAGGGGCTGTTACTAAACTGCCCCCTTTATTACCTTTGTAGTAAACGTCAGCCTCTTTTTAATGTCAGTTCCAGGCTTAGTTCAAGCCTCGTTTTTCATGTCATGTACAGTACACTGTGTGTGGTTGTATCTTCGAGTCAAGGGGTTTGAGTGTCGTTAGCAGCAACTTTGTCATCATAATCATCATATTTCACATCGTCGACAACATCATCATCACTCACTCTGATCATCACTAGTATGATCACAATAACAATCATCATCATAATTCATTGCAATAATCGTGATCAATTAGTGTTAAAACAGTATTAATATTCTTCTATCATTCGTAAATATCACTCGAAATTGTTGCTAATATTCAATCAGTATTATACGAAATGTCCTACGCGTGCAATTTGCAAAATTTAATTAACACTGCAATTAAAGTTTAAAAACATGAAGAAACTGATCGGAGTTTTAGGAAAGAAAAAAAGGAATATTAATCATTTGTAGAAAGGCATCTAGACGGAGGCTTGTTTTGGAATAATCAGCAAAGTCGAATAAGAAATGCTCCGAATTGATTGGTAACATTAGGATTCTTCAAATCTTCTTTAGTTTGATAAAATATGCTGTGCTTGAGAAGAGCCAGGGCCGTTGCTACGGTGGGGTGTAGGTTGTGACACTCCCTTGGCAAAGATTTTTGTTGCAAAAACAAGGCGTTTTTAGCCATTTAGGGGTGCTAAGTCGCTAAATTTCCAAAATTATCGACAAATAAAGGATGATCCGACAAATTGAACCTGATGTTCCCCTATGAGCACAATAGCTAGCGACGACCCTGTAAAGGATTTTATTTCATTTGTTGCATCTAGAATTTTTATTTTGCCTTTTTTATGTTCACTAATTTAAAGTGCTTTTAGATAGCAGCTAGATTGTGAAGGTAGATTTTTAGATTTAACTGCTTTTATTGGTAGAGAATAAAACAACTAAAATGAGAAGCAAGCAGTACTTACTTAAGTGAACATACGGAATTCAAAAACTTTCTTCCAGTTGGAGAGGAGCAGGGACCGCGCACCAGTTTAAAACAAAGGGGCGGAAATGGGTGTCTTAAAGATTTTTTGAGGCCACGCCCTCTGAAACGCTGGTAAACACCCCTTTTAGAAAATATTGCTTATTTCTATTCCTTTTTTTTCAACAGTTTGGTTCAGAGAAGATATCAGTAACTTTGAAAATAGATAAAATTATCTTGAGGGTAATAAAACACCAAGCTAACCAAGTTAGAAAAATACATCATATCATTAAACAAGATAAATATCTAGAAAATCAACAAAAAAGGTTTCCCGTCAAGAAGAACTGTTACTAAATAGGAGGAAACTATCCAAAGTTGCGTTAGAGTAAACCTTCCAAAATTTTTTTTAGCCTATTATTGCAAAAAAAGTAGGTGGGCTATAGCCCCTGCTAGCCCAATGGCTGCGCGGTGCCTGGAGAGGAAGAGACTCCTACAAGTGACTACCACTACATTAGGTACCAGAACGCAGAGCCTAAAAATTCGACTTTTCCCTTCCATATTTTTTTAAACTCTGGTCACAGAATAGGGGAAAAGATGGTCTGGTACCCAGGGATCTGGTACCTAGGGATCAGTGTAAAAGGGACCAACAGACTGTTGCTAAAACGGAAACTTCTGATTGCTTGTGTTCTTCTATCGACGCCAAAAGGAAATTATTGAAAATTTGTATCTCGCGTCATTCGAGCTACCAAAATAAACTTTAGCTGTATATCATGGAATGCACAAAGCTTTAGGAAGCTGATATAGAGGCTGATGACGGGGTAATGTGTCATTTGTGGCACAAAAACAATGCGGAAGCAGGCAGCAATATCATTAGGGGCTTGATAACCTGACATGAAATCAATATAAAAACATGTTAAATTAGATTAGTAACGTCACAAGAACAGCTTGGAGCTGGTGCGGGTTATCATCACCGTCAGCTGGTTCGTATTTTAATGAAATATTTATAGCTACCGCTGCTCTTAAAGCGTGAAATAACTGCGGTGATTTGTTGACGTGTTCAACAGGCAAATCATCTCTATGGCCTAGCTGTGTATGGTCTAATCATTGTTTTTGCTTCAGATTTTTGCTTCAGATTTTGCTCAGAATTCCGTATTGTCCGAAGTAAAAGAAAATGTCTGGCCAACGCGGAAGCATTCGCCACAGAAGTTCCAGCTTCTTCGACCTTGAAGAAGTAAAACTTCATGTGCTTGAGAAACATGCCTCTCCGAGTTTAAAAGGGAAGTTCGCCGTGACCCACGAAGAGATTCCTGTTCATAGCCGTTCGTCGTTATCTGAAGAGGTTGGCGCGGTGAAGAAAAGGACGGGAAAATCGTTTCAAAATACTTTCCGGGTAGACCCGCCAAGTCTCTTTAATCCTTCGAAAGTCAAGCAGATTCTGGAAAAAGAGTTAAAGTTTCTCGAAAACATTGATTACGAGCCTGAGCAGGCAAGACTTACAGCTATCGACCTCGCAAATACTATAAAATCGCAAGTGAAGTTGCTTTTTCCGCGATACAAAAGTGTTGTACAAGTCACAATTGGTGGAAAAGGCAGTCAAGGAATAAAGGTAGTAAGCAAATTTTTCTGGGACCAAGAGCGAGATAATTACGCATCACACACAGTTACGAGCTCTAGTATTTTCGCCGTCGCTACTGTTTACGGCCTGTATTACGACTAAGACATAAGTCTTTGGACGTCTCGTGGCGTTATTACGGCAACGGGAATCATCCTAGCACGGAATAACATTAACAGGTACAAATCGTTGAAGATGTAAACTTTCCCGCAATGGGGGTGAAAATGAACAGTTGACGTGGATAAACCGACGTCGTATCATTCAATGAATCCAGAAACGCCGAAAGAGTTTAATTTTTACATCAAAGTTTGCATGAATTTTAGCATCAAAGTTTTTCGTGATTTTTACATCAAATTTTTTCTTGAATTTTTACATCAAGGTTACAAGAAGCACCGTCCAGCGGAATGAGAATAAGTAGAGTCCCTTTTAAGAACTTATGTTAATAAAAATGGAAAGATAACCCGGGATTTATTAAAAGGAGCTTGATCGGACATAATGCAAACTATATATGTGGAACATGGTAGGAAACAAACAACACACCCTCTTAGAATTAAAGCAACCAGGTCATCGCATCCGGGTGTTTTAAAAAAAATCAAAATTCCATGTATTTTACAAAGGATTTTAACTGATATTTTCCATCTTTCGGAAATGAAGGCCACAAAAATGTAAATTCCTTTTTTAATATTCTGATAACTGTGATTCAAATTACCGAAAACCTTGCTTTCCCACGGTACCGTTTCATCTCCCACGGCACAATCGGGGTAGTGTCATATTCCAGTCTCATGATTCTTTGGAATGCCGCATTATTTCGTTAAACCAGGGTTAGGTTGTTCAATTATGTCAGTCTCATTTCATCCCTCGATCAACCCTTAGGCTTCGCACAAAACAGTCATCGTGAATGAATAAGGCTTATACTCAAGAAAAGCTTCACAACCAGGGCCCGCGCCACAAGGGGGCGGGTATGGCCATGCCCCCCACTTTTTTCCGAAGGAAGTAGTTCTACGGCTGCAGAAAAAGGGGTAAGGTGCCTTGGCCCTTTACTTTTTCTAGCCTGCCCCCCCCCCACTTTCAAACTCGTGGCTTGGGCCCTGATAACTGCCATGAACAATTATTTATATTCAGATCATAAATTTATGGATAAAAAATAGACCTTCCTACATGTATATTAAAGTATATTAGAGATTTATTAGAAAATTTGCCATAGCTGTTTGAAAAGAAGAGAAATTTCGTAGTTGAAAGTAAATCTTAGTGAACTTAGAAATCTAATTGGTTTCTTATATAAAACTACGAACAATAGTTGCAAAATTTTTCAAGTGTTTCCCTTATTGATCTTTATAAATGCCATTACCAACTTTAACATGCTAAGCTTTATTGATAAAAAACTTATTTATGATTTTATAAATTGATAGCAAAATAACGATGAATTTATATAGCGCCCTTACTTCTATCGAAATGCACGATCATTCTTGTAAACTGAAGGAAGAAGATGAAATTTATCGACCATAGTTGCTGTTTTTTTCAGGGGCTCTTTGGCAGGGTTTTTTCTAAGTGGGCCAATGCCCCCATCGATTTATGTGATGTCATTTCCTTGAATTTTTTACCCAAGTTTACACAGCAAACTCTCGACATCTGAACAGAGCCGAAGAATTAAGCTGCTCTTGCCTTTGTTTCCTCGGTATGTTTGGCATGTTTGAGAGATCTTCTGCACCGTCATTCTTTTTTGGCTCTTGCCTTTGGTAAACTGAATGTTTTAAGCCGCAATGTTTAGCAGCCATTTAGAACCGCAAGCCATTGACAAGTTTTTCTCGATCAACTTAACGCTAAATGAAGATGTTTATGCATAAAAAAGTGTCATTGCGATGTTACGAAATATCAGCTGTCAAATATATTTTGACTCGGGAAATTTACTTTTAGGTTGTAGTTAGGTTTTATGTCTGATTCGAATGATCTATACTTCGTTTCCTTCTGTTTACTTCATAGTGCGCTGCTTCTAAGAACTTGTAGGAAGTGCTTCTTTTCAAATGAAACGAACATTGAAGAGACCCAGAAAATTTATTCAGTTTTACGGGTATTCCTTAAATTGAGGGATTTATTAACTAGGTCAAAGGGACAGTTACGTCTTTTGATTGTTACCCCGGGATTTTCGTGATACGTCTCCATCAAAAAATTCCGCGAAAGCCTAGCCTCGTTTTAGGCACGAAATCATTATCAAAGCAGGATGATAACAAAGTTATGGCCGAAGTTGACAGAAGATGTTTGCTAGTTTCAGCGGAAGGAATCTGTCTTGTCTTTGTGCTACAGTGTGTGTTGTTGAGATGCTCGTCCTGTCCAACTTCTACACAGTATTATGCAGTTCATTCCAAAGCTTCTATATTTGTACGGGGCCTAAGCCAAAACAACATGGACTGTTCCTTCAATATCGCACGTGGCAATGGATTTGGGGAAGATTATTTTCTCGAATTAAAATGGATAGATCTTACTGTGCCAGATAAAATGCCAAGCTGTGAAGAGTCGTACATCGAGGTTTTTTTAACGAGGTACGTTGGACGATTTTGGACAGTGTGATAGGCTAGGCCATTTCAATCCAAATGATATCAATATCAAACAAATCTAATACCCCTGTGTAACAAGTCCGGTGAGCTTTTTTCTTCACGGGGAATAGTGGGTAAATATAGCAAGGGCAGCGAAATTCGTTTCGGACTGTCAGGGGTGGGATGTTATGCTAAACAGGGAACTTAAGATTGACTCTGGACAGAAAAATCAGCTTGTAGGGAACGTAGGGAAATTTGAAAATGCCTTAGGCATTTGATTTTTCGAAAGGGGACTCATCCTAGACAATTTTCTCGCCGGGGACGGTTCTCACAAGGCTTGTTACACAGGGCTTTATTATTGTTTATATTTGTTGCTTTTATTTCGCGTGGAGACAATATATTATACTGCCTGCATACTATTACTTTACAATACTACTTAAACTGCTTCCGCTTACGATTCTGCTTTAGGGGGCAAAATCTAATGTCTACTAAATGCAAATTACACATTTCAGAGAGGATGGACCCAGCTAAGGAGGCCAAAATGTGTCCCCTGTATAGCACACTTGCTGTTTCTTGAGGGACCTGTTTGGTTCGGTTCATTCAATTTCAAAGTCATTTAAAACCCAGTTTTGATACAATTTGACAATATTGTATACAAATATATGAATACATAAAAACACATACAAGTTACAAACTGCATATGAGAAGGTATCAAAATTATGTGGTTTATTGCATAGGGAAGAATTTATTAAGGAGGAGCTCTCTCAGCAGGTACAATGATCACAGTAATTGACAGGCACCACAGAGTAGAGGGGCTGGGGGGCTAAAGGCAAAATTTAGAAATGAATCACCAGTCAAGCCTCTTTTTATTCAGTTTTAGCCCCCTCTACTTTTCTCAGTGCTCTGTGGTGCCCTATTTGTTTCATTTAAAAGCTCTTTATCAAAATTATTCATAATTCATGTTACTTCTTTATGTTTACTTTTTTGATGAAACTAAGGTATTTTCTGTACTGCACAGGTCCTACAACAGTTTGGGAAGAATTTGTACAAGCAATATAGTTAACACTTGGTATGTATTCACGATGTATTCATATGATGGAAATGCAGAAATTAAATATCATGTTGGAAAAGAAGCACAAAACTTTAAATTCCATTTGCAAATCAAGCTACGAAGCAGAAAAACTGAGTATCTTGGTTCTGGAGTCAAGTGCTAGTAAGTGAACTTTTTCAATGAAATATTGAAAATATTATTGCAGTGTTATGATATACAATATTTTGGAGCCATGTTGACTCTCTTTTGGGATGAGAACATTGAAAATAATGTTTTTCATCTTTGTGACCCAGAGTAATGATTCTTCATAGCACAATACAGCCTTGGCCTGCAAAATGATTATAGAATATCAAACCAATAAGGAAATTTCAAAGACTTGAATTTATGTAACTGAGGACCATTGAGTCTTTTTCTTCTGTTTTCCACCCTACTTGTTTATGTCTGGGACCAGTTTCACTTTTTTGGTTAAATCTCCTTCTGAAAGTGTTAATCTGAGTACACTATGATAATTTTGTGAAAAAAGGGAGCTGGATGGTAACTGATGTTCCATTTAAATTTTCTTGCAGCAATGCAAGATTGACCCGTGGCTCTGGAAATTTGTTCTCATCAGGGTGGCCAAGAAGAGGCTATAATTTTAGTTCACCTCCTTGTACACATGAAATTGAGCCTAATTCAGTTTCTGAGACCAGACTCTATTTTATGGATATCAGCCTGAAACGACAGTTCTCTGGCTGTGATAGCAATGATATTTTGGTCATTAAAGGTTTGTTATTGTTTATATAGTACTCTATGTATTACCTGGAAAAACTTGTGAGACAATGTTGTAAAATGTAATCTACTTTGAAATACAAATTTGCCCCTTTAATACACCAGTTTATTCCAGAGAAGTTTATGATTCAAAGATCTAATATTTGATAATACTTATTATGACCAGGGCAACTAGTTGAGATATTACCAAATGCTGGCTGCATCAGCACAAAATAACAGAAATATATCTAGCTGGCTTGACTTTGTACTGTCAGCATATTCTGCACAGCAAAGGAATGCTATCCTTAAAAATTAGCTGGAGGGCTGTGCTCGATCCTTGAGAAACCACATCCCTGATCAAAACGCTATAACTTAATAATGGGCCAACACAGAACTCCTCCAATAAAACATGTGCTTGATTGTTAAGGTTTGCCAAGCCCAAAAACCCCCCCAGCCCCCTCCACATCATGCACCCCCTGATTCTACCCTTTATATGATTTGACAGTTCAAGGGGTCAGTGACTATGATAAGCCATTGTGATGATGAAACTGATAAAAGAGAAACAAGAAAGTAGATAAATACAGTTCAACAATGGCTCAGAAACAAAAAGCAACATTTAGAAAAAATAATCACTAAACTAGTTTTACCCAGCACTTTTTCAGAAAATTTAGAATCGAAGAGCGTGGAATACATGAAAAGTGATGTTGTATTTTTAAAGATATAAGAGGTCAAAAATAGGCTAAGTAAGAGAAAACCATGTGGTCCTTCCCAACTACGTAACAGGGCCTCCGTCGAAGGAAGGGGAATTCTTAACACTTGAAACTGCTTGATTGGCTACATTTAGCTTTCAATTTATCAAATTTTTTAACCACACCGCACCACAAGTAAAGATTGCCCTAAAATTCAGGCATTAAGAAGGAGAGAGGGGAATAACCATGACACGTTGCTAGAGGTTTTTAAGTTACATGATACGTAAAGAAAACAAAAAGTTTGCCATGAAATGTAACAACGGTGGTCAGGCCAGAAATGTCGGACAGGAATCTAATCCTTTCAGTCACTTCAATGCCCTTCACGAAAGCTTATTATAGTTCTTCTTGAACCATTTAGAGGACCCTTGACCCACTCCATTCCTTTGCTAAGATTCCACTATTTTGTTTACAGGTGCAGAAAATCATGAATCATATGAAAAAAGCACAACCATCAGGAAGGCGATTTGTGGCGACAAATCCTTGTTAACTTTAACAGTGCAACACACGAAGGTCTATGTCCGATTTATAAGACATATACGAGGGAAGAATTACAATGCGAGAGGATTTGTTGCTGGATACTTGAGTTATGGTAACTTTCCAGCTTTTTTCAAGCATCCCCCCCCCCCCCGTTCTTATTTTCGAACATTCCAAGTGCTTTCAATCAAATTTCGATGAAGAAAATGTTGAGAACGGTTTGCTATACACCCTTCATTATGGTGAAAAAACTCTTGCATCAAAGCAAAAATCATCATAAGATGGTACTGAAAATTTACATGTTCTCTGATCTTGGATATTGCTTGCTTTGCTATTTTCCATAAAATAGACCCAGATATTTAACAGTTTTCAATGAGAAATTCAAAACCACGATTATGAATCCTACTGTGCCCTGTGTAGATTTTCTATTTCTGTCTGGTTTAGGGTTTTATATTGCTTTTTTTGATTATGAATTGCGCAAACTTTCTTTTAAGTTTAGGATAAATTCTTCAATAACATGTATTTTAAGGTTTTGATAGCGTTGACTAGCGTAATGAATAGAAAGGAACCGAACGTTAAAAAAAGAATTTATTGATATTATCAATTAATAGTATATTCATGCTTGTTGATTCTCTGTTTTCAATTTTTTAGAAATAGAAGAGAGCTCTATGAAGTCGGTAATGATAGCACTTGTTGTTTGCTTGTTCGTGGTTTTGGCAATGCTTATCGCTGCTTGCTGTTGGTACCGTGTCATCAGAATTAGGAGGCGTAGGCACCAAAGTGCGGTCCCTTCAAATGAAGATGCCACATTAAGGGTAACGCAGGAGCCTGGAAACAACAATAGAGGTCAGTACGTCATTGGGGGCTGCCTGTGTCTTATAAATCATACATGGAACTTCCTGTGTCAACAAACATAAATGATAATTCCCTGTAGAACGAGCGTCTGCTCAGTCATAAGCCATCAATTTAGGTTGAGCTTCTGACGCCACTCATCCTCCCCAGGGTACTACTGCTGTTCTAAGGTCGGTTTAAAAAGTTGGGTGCTACCTTTAGGCTGGCTCACTTAATCTTTGCTTGAAAGCAATCTACTTTCTTTCTAAAATGCTAGGTTAATACTTGTGGAAAATGAAAAGGTTGAGCTGCAAAAGACTAGGTTTACATGACTTGCATAGCTCTAGTAGTCGGGTAGCCCTACCATCATGTTTTAACTTATCCTTAATGATTCTTAATAAAATGTTACTTCAAAACTGCTTCTTACTATATTACTTCTGCCACTTTCAAACCTAAAGAAAGAAGTCAAAATCTAAGCCCGCCAACAATCGATCATACACTTTTTCTGTTGATAACATGCAGCCCGAAAGGTAACACTTAAGAATTCTTCGGGCCTCAGAAGTAAGGCAAATTTTAAGGACCTGGCAAATGAGAAGCATTCTTAGCAACTGTAATCGTATAAGATGAGGAGTTGTAGTCTGTAACTTTCAGAGTTTAGAAGTCCTCATTTATAAGTCGTTAGAATAAAACACCAATGGGGCAAACAAATCACTGATGAAGACCCTGAATTCATTTGTTGCATGGACTCGTATGTTTGTTACCCACAAACTAGATTCGGATATTCTTTCCTTTTGGCTCTGCATTTCTTATGAGACTCATCTTGTTTATCATTTTTGTAGAAGAATCCTGTGTCGCATATGTGTTTGCCCTGCCACCGTATTCTGCCGAAGATCCATTCCCAAGATCACAGGATCACTTACCTCCTCCTTATAACGAGACAAATCTCAACGAAACGCAGTCCACAGAAAATTGAAAGTAAGTTCATCTGTATGTTTTAGATGTAAATAATATTTTGGGTAACATACATACACAGAAAAGTGTTGAAAATTCCCAAATACTGCAGTAACTCGTTAAAGCTATACCATTGGCTCCTACTTACATAACCCGATATATAAACGTGAATATTTGTTGAATATTTTCTATTTCTGAAATGAAGCCCAAAGTAAATACCACGGAAGCACCACGCTGTACCACGGTGTTAGAATCTTTGATTAAACAGTTTAAAATATACTTGATGTGAAACCTAATGAAAAACCTCTTTTATTCTATTTTCGATAATTTCTTTGAACGTGTTTATGTTTTTTATAAGCAATTTTATTAGATTTCTTGAGTGATTACGTCACAAAAATCTTTCTGAATTTTGATCCTACAACCTGAAAAATCATCATGAAGTACCTCTAAATGTGCAAAATAAGTTTTATGTGTGACAAATTGGCTGAGATTTGGCCACGTGAGTACCGGCTATTTTCTCATCCAACCTTTGTTATTTGGTTTCTGTTCATAACTTTATGAAGAAAACAAAAAATAACAATAACCCATTAACAAACTTGAAATATTCCATTGGCAATATCTCAACTGATTTTTTACATTTAACTGATTTTGCATAATTAGTATTTCATTGTGTTTTTAAGGTTATTTGTTTTTTTAAAATTTCAAAAATATATTTTTCATGCCTTCAAACTTAAGAACTTTATTGCAAGGTCCACTGAAATTCAGCTACCTAAAATGAGTCACTCAGCCTTTCAACGAAATATATGACAATTAGTCTCAAAATATTCTTAAAAAACGGTGGCAAAATGTTCTATATCCTAAAAATTGTGTTCTAGATGCAAAAAGCAAAGCTTTGTGAACCACAAACATTTATATATTGTCTTAGATTTGTTTGATCACTGCCTAAATATTATTAATGCAAAAGTTTTCGCTGTTTTCAAAGAATAAGAATTTCAACAACTACATTATTCATTATCATAGATGAACGGGCATCTTGTGTATGGTTCAAAAAAGATTTTGCAATAAAAAATGTCTCCATCCAGCAATTTTATGTTTAGTATACAAAGTAACAAAGCTTTCATTTATCGTTTAGAACAGCTTTATCAAGAACCTGTCTTCAGCTAAAATGTGCCCTTAGCCTTTTGGGGAGGGGGTGGGTGGTTGGAGGGTCGTTTCCACAAAAAGGGTTCTTGGTTTTGTGAACAGTGTCCATCATACATTGATATATAGTTAGTTCATGTACTCGTTTTTTCAGTTGAAGCAAAGTAAAAAATTCAACTGGTTGAAGATTTAATATGCTTTTTATACCTATACTTTTAAAAATTATATCGTCAAACCAATCGAAAACTTGTCTAATTGGCTGTTGAAGATTTAATATGCTTTTTCTACCTATACTTTTAAAAATTATATCGTCAAACCAATCGAAAACTTGTCTAATTGGCTGTTTAATGACATGAAATCCCAATCGATGTTTTGTAGCGTAAGGCGTAATTAGGTGAAAAACTTTCAAGTTTACTCTTCTTATGTTTAGCAACTATTTTCAGGTAACTCATACTTTCAATTGTTTTCTTACCCTTAAGTAATGTTTTAGACTTTCTGAATGCTTGTCTGTTTTTAGGACTTTTTCGACATAGATTCATCATAGAAAGTCATTTTGCTCTACAAGAAATCATATATCCAACTACAAAATAGAAGCAGATTCCTATACAGCTATACAGTTTTTGGTGATAAAAACAACACAGAATATTGTGCCTGACATTTGTATATTCATCCCGTACTCTAAAACCCAGTGGCGGCGCCAAGTGGGGTATGGAGGGTAATTACCCCCCCTCCACTTTGTCAAAAGATGGTCTCCATATTTCTTCTAAAACTGGATTAAAAAGTGCTAGGTACTTAAACAACACAAAAGAGGAGTGGACTTACTGGCCACGCCAATTACCCTCCGACTTTGTAGTTGCAGGCGCCGCCACTGCTAAAACCGTTTATGTATAATAATGAACCCTGTATATAACTATGTACTTTCAAAATTTAATGAATGCAAATTGTAGTTAGTAGAATTGAATGGAGAAAATGTTAGTGTAATATAGTTATATAATGATTTAGTCAGTTTTGCAATTTTAGTTGTTGTCAATATATTTTTGTAGTGTCTCAAAGTGCCCTTTCTCCTCTACTCCTCCTCGATATATGTGGCTTCCTCCCGTATGATCATGCAGTATGGATATTTCAAGTCTTTGCTGGACATTGGCTGTTTTAAAAAAATCAAACTATATCCGCCATTCCTCGAAAATATTATCGAATGTGTTATATCCTTAAAAATTCACTAACTGGGTATTGACAGCGTGCACACAGACCGGTAGTGTAACGTTAAAAAACTGGCCAAGAACTTAATACGCAAGTTCCGTAGATCGTGTTTCACCTTATACACCTGTTTTTCCTTTAAATCGTAGAAACTCTTGTTCAAGACTTCGTTTGATACTAACAGGATAGCCAACCGCGGTTCTATTTCCTATGTATTTACTCTGCTCTGTTAGAATCGACCTATTGTGCATTTTTAATCAGGTAAATAATTCATGCCACTTAGTCAATCAATAGTTATAATTGGGCTTCGGTACTTTATTACCAACAGAGTTTATTCCATCTAAATTTTATTATAGTAATGTTATCAAAATTTCATCAGGTCATTTATTAATGAAGTATTTGGATCCCCCATAATAGCTTGCTCTTTTCTAATCTTGCAAACATACCTGAACCCTTTATCTAACGGTAATTTGACACCCTTGGTGGTATGGCAGACCACCTTCTAGAGCTGAAATGGGAACTCGATGTGGTTTAACAAATGATATGCTCTTTTGTGAAACATTCTGCAAAATATTTCAATCTTCCTTTAGTATTTCACTGGGAATTTTAACAGAGCTGGTTCATTAACCTCCAGCAACCTAGAATCCTTTAATGTTGGAAAACCTGCTACTTTCTGTTTTGTTCTTTGAAGGGCTGTTGCATTTTCGTGAGTGGTTTTTATATCAATATTTCTTGTATATAGACATTTCTTATATGAATGTTTTTAAGTTATTTAGAAAATAAACTTTGGCACCATTGATATTTTATTTTCTTGTTGACGTGCTTTCAATTTTTGTTCTGTATATTTTACTTGATAAATTGCATTCTGTGTTTGGTGACGTATGTTTATAAGAACGTTGGACGGTTAAAAGAATTCATTCACTTTCTGACTTGTGGTTACTATTTTTGTCTCGTTTTCATGAATACCTCGTTTAAGATTCAAGTTACATTTGATTCTTACAGAAACTATGAAGTTGTTGAGCTTTCCAGAATGAAATTAGTTGATCCAGATGCAAAAAGACATTTGGAGTGGGCCCACGCAGAGTTTGTTGCCAGGCAGATTTTAGTATCACACCGGTGCGGACATTTTTGTTCCAATTTTGCCTACCGTCGCGCGATTTTAACCCCTAATTTCGATCCAGACCCCTCTCTAATACGCCCTCCCTTTTAGCAATTGCAATGTTATTTCTGCAAGTAGGGCATTCACATGAACTAACATATATAATCTAAGAGTTTTCTGCTATTACCACAAATAATGGGAAATAAAAATTATCATTTTCATTCTAAACCAGTTTCTTGATTCACAATGAAAATGCTTTTTTGAAAGACTCTGTACTGAAAATGCCCCTCCCCATGCTAATTCAAATCATGACGATATACCTAATTCATTTTCAGTTACAAAGAAATCATACTCATTTAAGAATTTAACAGGGCGTCCGAGGAAGGGGGGGGGGGGGACATGGCCTCCCACTTCTTGCAAAACAATAGAACTTTTCACAAAAACTTTTGTTATAGGTGTTAAATTTCCCTTACACCCATCCCCACTTTTGGAGCCCATGTTTAGCGGAGATGTTACTAAACAAAACAAACTTACTGTATTTCTTTTTAAAAGAATATTCGTAATGGGTGCCTCTTGTCAAGCTACAGTGAACTTACATTATTAACCAAAGAATTTTTATGTTCATTATGTTCATAGTTACTTGTACTTCTGTATTCAATCCTGTAAAGACATTCTTACAAAGCGATAATTCAGCTTTGCACTTTAAGAAACTAAGCAACTGAAAACGTTTGCTATGATTCATTTGGTGGGATAGCTTCCACTGTGACGTCATCATCATCTTCAGTTTTGACCTGGTCCTTCTTTATTTCTTCTTTAGTTGCATCTTCTTTTAACTTTGTAACGTATTCTTCGTCAAGTTCTTCAATTTTTAAACCTCCACTTTCATCTGTTAGTTTTTGTAGTTTAGGGACGTCAACAATAAGATACCCGTCTTTCGAGAAACTAGCTTTTACCTTGGTCAAGTCTGAATGTTTTGGAAGCAGATATTGGTACCTGAAAAAGCTCCTCTCAGAACATCTTTTGTTTTCGTCCTTGCAGCCTTTCTTTCCAGAAATTTTTAAGAAATCATCCTTGACCTTAACTGAAACTTCATTTCTTTCAAAACCCTTTAAATTCATGGCAAAATTAAACTGTTTGTCGTCGTTTTTGACAACACGAGCAGCTAACTGTGGAATAGCGAGGTCCTTTTCTTCGGTCTTTGTAGCTTTCTTGCAGCTGCTTTCTTGGGTTTCATGTTTTTCAGCTTTCTTGCAAGACTGTGAACTAGGCTTTAGGACTGGCTGGTCAAAGAAGTTTTCGAAATCGTCGTCGTTGAAAAACGGATCACTTGTGAAGTGGTCAGCGAAATCTTTCGTCATCATGTCAAATGTTGTCCAGGGTCTCAAAAAGAATGGATCATCGAAAAGTGAACGTCTTCGTAGGCCAAGCCGTCCTTCGGTTAATGACATGCAAGAAACAGTAATTAAAATTCCAAAACAGATAAATTTTTCCATTGTTACTGAAAATTGTTAAACGCAAGAAAAATGTGTTCTCGATTTTATTATGCTGCCTCTAGCACCCCAGATGTATCGAGAGTTGACTGCAATTTACTGCTGCCTTCCTACCACAGGCAATTTATTCTACGCTGCAATACACGTGGCAGTACAAGAAAGCCCCAGCACAACAAATAAACAACATTGCCTTTTCTCATGCAACCAGGAACGTGCAATCATGCACACGCACCTCCGCAGAAAATCGTTTTCTAGAACCTACTGCGAGGCACTGTCAGTGACTGCGAGGGCAATCGCGAGAACTGCTTTGTGAAAAAGAAAAGGCCATTATTGAGATAATTTTGATCAATTTTATTCAAATAAAGGATGTGGCCATTACCAAAACACAAAAAAAGACATTTAAAAGTCGAAGAAAACCCTAGAAAACTATTGACTCTTTTTCTCGACAAAATTTGCGAGGTTTACAACTCGGATATGTGGTGTATTTCGCAGAAATAATAAAAAATCAGCAATAACAAAAATGAAAATTATCCAGGAAACAAACAGAAAAGAAATTTCAAAAATAACCTAAATGATCATATAGACATATAGTAACCACTGGAACCAACTCTACAAAGAATCGATGAGATGATAAAATCAAAACAATCACAGAATAATCTCGTTTCTGTGTCTGATAGTGAGGTTTCTTGAGAAGCACGAGGGCAAAAAACATAGACCTCGGCAAGATGTCTAAAGTTTGTTCTGCATTTGTTAAATAAAAGTATGAAAAGTATTATTTTTATCGCCAAAGATAATTGAGTACGTGAATTTCAAAGCAGCTCTGAAGCTGACACCAAAAGAAGTTAAGCACTCAAGTCGCTGATTGTACCAAACAGTGATAACCGGCAAACAAAATGGTGCTGAAGAAAATAGACAACAGAATTCGAGTGCTGATCGAAAATGGGGTTTCAGAAAAACACAGGACGTTATTTTTCATAGTAGGGGATCATGCAAGGGATCAGGTATTGTAAAAATGCATATTTTGTACATGTTCATTTGTTACCTTATCCATTTTCAACAGGGGGTGTTTTCTCCACAATCTGCCAAGCTACTGGGATGGTTCCTCCATAAGAAGTTCTTCTTCATACATTTTTTGTCTGATATTAAAATCTCAAAACTTTGCTTTAAACTGTATTTGTACTTAGGCCTACTTTTTATTGTATGTTGTATTTCGTTATTAAATTGATATTTTGTACGTGGTCCAGTCTGCATTTCTTGTCTTAAGGCAGAAGTTAAGCAATCTATACCAAAGAAGCAGTCTTGACCAATTTGAAGGGCATGATTTCAAGAATTTTTTTCTCGGAACAAAGCTCATCCCCAGAACAAAGCTCCTCCAGATTTATCCCATTGGTGCCTCAAATTGATGAGACCTAACTGTGCTATGGGCTTTCCTTTGCTGGAGCTAGGATTGAAAATTGGAATGTGGAGTGAAATTTTGAAGAAGGCAACAAAAACTGAAACTGAGTTTTCCAATTTTTTTGGAGGGGAGATGAAAGAAGGTTCTGTTTTGCAATTGTTTCAAGAGTGATTTCTTGTTTTTGTTAAGATATTATATGTACAAGCTCCATATTTTCTATATTTAAGACAAAAACAAATTTCCATTGCACTCATGTCCAAAGCACCTTTTTTAAAATAATGCAGCCATGTTAAAAATAGAATTGGGCATTTTGTATCTCCTAAAGACATTTTTCAATGTTAAAATGTTTCACCAGTGATACATAAAGTGACCCTGAGAATTAATCTAAGAACTCATGAATTTGTATTAATGGAATTTATACTCCTTAATGGAATATAAAATTGTCCTTGTGAGGCCTGAACAGCCGTACAGCTACTACTACATGCTCTACCTGAAAATAAAAAAGAAGGGTTCCAGCCTTCCCAGAGTTGACAAAACTGTCAAAATTAATTGCTTGTTGCCATATCAGGCTTGTTGCCATTTGCTCCTTACTTATTTTAATATAAGCAAAAATATGCAGTGATAAAGTTCTTAGATGCAGCGAAATTCAATATTTAGCTGATGCCTCTGTTGTCAAGTTATATGTATTTTAATCAAATATTTTTAAGGAATGCAATAGACTAAGGATTTTATATTTTCAGGTTGTAATTTTACATCATATGCTGTCAAAGGCACAGGTGAAGGCAAGGCCTTCTGTATTATGGTGCTACAAGAAAGAATTGGGATTTAGCAGGTTTGAAATGTTTTCATTTTATTTATTGATATAATCTAATTTTTGGCTATTATTTTTTACTAATGGCCACTTTAGACACAACTTATCTACTGTTAAATATTTAGGCATAAAATGATAAACTCAATTAAAGTTTGCCAAAGTATTGAAAATTCTTAGCACATTCACTGGATCTAGACCAATTAAAATGTCGGAGAGCTAAAAAAGTCCATCAACTGGTTTCCAATAAGCCAGAGTTTTAAAAAAGAAAAAAGAAATGTATCTCAACTCTTTCACTAAAAAACAAACTCTTTCAAATAAGAAACTTTTACATAACTAATCTAACCTTTATATTGTTGGAATCATTACAAGGCCACAATACACATTACAATGTAAGGTTTTCTGATTAAACTTATGAAGCAGTAAAATTTGCAATTTTCTGGGTTTTCTTTAAATGAGTAAATTCATTTTAGAAGGTTATTATCAGGGTTACCCGGTTGATAAATGTTCTTTCCATACTATAATGTGTATTTTCTATGGCTGTCATATTTGTTGCTGAAACTCAAGCTACTGACGCTACAGATTTTTATATGTAATTCCAGTTATTTTTATTGCTACATTGAAATAGATTACACAGAGGGTTCAATAAATTGAATTTTTACAGTTGTTTTGTGTCTCAAGCACTGTACTTTAAAACAGAAAAAAGTGGCCTATTTATGCATTCATTTCTTTCTGACAGCAAAGCAACCTGACAGATTCATAAAAATAATTTAGTCAATGTAAAAAACAAGTAATATCAGTTATAGGCTATCGGATGACCTTTTAAAGCTAACCTTTAAATCTATATTTTGCTGTGTTGTGATCATATTTTGCATAATATTTACAGTCATAGGAAAAAGAGAATGAAGCAACTGCAAAAGAAAGTTAAAAGTGGTACTTTGGATATGAAAAAAGATGACCCTTTTGAGCTGTTTATTGCTGCAACTTCAATAAGATACTGTTATTATCATGAGACCCATAAAATTTTAGGCAGTACTTATGGAATGCTTGTACTTCAGGTAATTTCTAATTCCATTTTTTTTAATCACATACCTCATTTACTTTCTAATAAAATATGTGTTTGCTGAGAGACATAAAAGGATTCCGTAACCTGACCCCCACATTCCAGTTTTCAAAACATTTGGCATTTTGGTTTATTTCCTAAATTTTTCTTATTCGTTTTTTCATTGATATAAAATCAGATCCAGCTGATGGTTGTTGCTTTGTCAATCATAAGGATTTTTCAAGAAGGAAACTTGTTCTGCTATATTTGAAATTTTTATGGTACATATTTTTCAAATTTTATCCTTATTTGTCTATATTTAAAAATTACCCACATGTGGTGTTTGGTTAAGCCATTGTATGAAATTTCAGTCCTAGAATCATCAAATTATGAATGAGCAGTCTGGGTGGTTTTTGGCATTACTCTTCATTTTTTGCAGGATTTTGAAGCCATCAGTCCAAATCTACTTGCAAGAACAGTTGAAACAATTGAGGGTGGAGGAGTTGTTTGTATCTTGTTAAAAACCATGAAGTCACTTAAACAACTTTACACAATGACAATGGTATGCAATATTTAAAGAATCTAGTTATATCAAATACTAAAAATATGTAGAAATGCCACACTTATGGTACCACATATAATTTTTTGAAGCTATTTTCCAATAAAGAAAATTTAGTTAAGCGTTTCTATGTAATTTGAAATTGTCTTGCTAGCTTTTTGCTTTTGTTAATAATTTCAAAGGCTTTTGAAGGGCATTATATTTGGAGTTTTAAGTTGTAATAGTCTTTATTGTCATGTTAGTTTTTAACTCATCTTCATTTCAAGATCAATAATCATATTTGTGAATTCTTACACAAATTTCAAGAAAATGTGTTGGTTAGCTTTGTTCCTTTCTTGAAGGATGTTCACTCAAGATACAGAACTGAGGCACATAAAGAAGTTGTAGGTCGGTTTAATGAAAGGTAAATTCCCATCTTTTGTTCTTGAACTCAACAATCAAAGTGGCACCCTATTTAGAAATGAAAAATGCAAGGGGTTTTCAATTTTTCTTTGAAAACTTTCTGATATTTTTTATTTTTTCTTACATTTTGTTTTGGTTTGTTCGTGACTATCAAAATATTTTTTCATTGGAGAAATGCAATGGAGGCAAAGAGCTTTGTCACAGTTTGCTAAAAGTGCTTAAAGTTACCCACCATGAGACAGAAATTTATTGGAGAGACAAAACAACATGTAAGCTCACCAATATCATACACAAACGAGAGCTGTACAGGACACGTGGCCTTAACTATACAATTCATTATGTTCATTTATGTGCAATGAATAGTTCGAGGGTAACACTTTAGTAAGCTTCAGCCTGATGTCTGTGACACTAATTTATGATATATAGAAAGTATAAGTCTGTGTTACAAAACTTGTCACTCAAGGACTATAAATGTTATTTGTTGGTTAAATTGCCTTTTTTCCCTCTCTGTCTTCTTGAGAAGTTTACAATTGACTTGAATTTTGGTAGGTTTTTGCTATCTTTGGCTTCATGCAAGAAATGTCTCGTTATTGACGATCAGCTCAGAATTTTGCCATTATCAACGGACAGCCGCAATATCACTGCACTTCCACCAAAAACGAAGGTTCCGTGTTTCATTGTTTATAGATGTTTATATATATGGTTGTAGTATGTTACAAAGTATTTGAACTGTTTTATTAAAACTGGAAATCCGACTCATGAGAGGGCAATGGTTATGTCGTTTGTTTATGTCCGCTGCTAAAGCCAGTTAGCTCATTTGCTCTTTGAAAAGTACAATTTAGCATCACGGGGTTGGGGAAATTGCCACACATAGTTTGTTCTCCAAGAACTTGCTGCTCTTCAAGAGTTGATGTCAAATATCGGTCATCTCTCTCTCTCTCATGTAGGGATACATAATTTTGAAAATTTAACAAAAGCCATATCGCAGCTTCACAATGTATTTATCTCGTAATATATTTCTCACATTTGCAATGAGGCTAGGACCGAGGAATATCCGTTCTCTCTGCAACTGATCATTAATGTACGTTTCAAACTGTCCCTGATTTTTGCCGAAAAATTTCCTTAAAACGTTTATCATTTTTTACCTTTGTTTCAAAAAATTATTTAGCCAACTCGAGCAAAGTTTTTTATGTCTGTTCATTCATCATCAGGAAAAATCTTTGCAGCTAAGATTCGTTGTGCTATTTCCCAAATAACCCTTGATTGGCATTCCAATATTCTAGAATCAAGAGCGTTTATTGTAAGATCAGGCTTATTTGTCATTGATTAAAAGACCTTGATTTTGTTCCTTATTTACAGGAGGAATCGTATACCCCAGAAGAAATCGAATTGAAAGAATTGAAAGAGTCATTGCAGGATACACAGCCTGTTGGAAATTTAGTGAATCATTGTAAAACTGTTGACCAGGTATTTATCGTAATTCAAATTACAAACTGGTGTTTTGTTACATCTAAGCCTCCTTGTAGCGAGAGTATCGTTACATTGAGCTACTATCTATTATCTGTTATGATGAAGAATTTGAACGTGCATAAAAAGCTTTGGGAGTAATGACATATACTTAGTTTTGTTAAGTCCGAAGGTACGATTAAGTTAAAAACGACCAGGTGGGGTGCTATTGAGCACATGGAGTTGACTAACGAGGGGTTTACACAAGTAGTATGTTATATATTTCAAATTAATAAGTGTCATCTAGCATATCAGTTGAAATTCATAGTGTCTTTCCTGCCAATACCATTTATGCTTGCAAATATATCATCTTAATGATCAGCGCTAGTTTAACCATTTTTTAAAGCAGTATTTTAGGCAAAATTAGTAGAAGTCAGTGTTTGCTATGCATCGTAGAGTGTAACTAAAGTGATATTATCTTGATGGTCTTTCCTTAGGCTTTCGACAGTTGTTCATTAGGTGAATTTGGTGATAAAAGGAAATACACACTCCCAGTAAAAGAATCGTCCAGTAGCATGCTTTCAATACATCAAATCAAACATTTTACAATTAATTTTTGTTTTAGGCCAAATGTTTGCTGAAGTTCATCGAGGCCATATCAGAAAAGACACTTCGTACGACAGTTGCTTTGACTGCTCCAAGAGGTCGAGGGAAGTCGGCATCAATGGGCTTGGCGATGGCTTCTGCTATTGCCTTTGGGTATGTCATTTATTAAAAACATTCTCTGTTAGTATAACAAGTCAACTTTATGTCGTCATGTCAATGATTACATTATCACTACAGACTCTTACTTGAAGAATAATCCCTGGTTTTTTGGTTTACAATTTTCGGTGATTTAATTCATTTTAGAGACCCATATTACATAGTATTTTCCCTGATGATATCGTTTAGTGTCGTGCCTGTACCCTTGCTTAATTTTTTTCATTCTCTTTGTTGCTTAGGTATTCGAATATTTTTGTGACGTCACCAAGCCCAGAAAACCTGAAGACTCTTTTTGAGTTTGTTTTCAAAGGATTTGATGCATTAGAATATCAGGTTTGATGGTTTGAATTGCTGCAACTTTGTTTTGAACTGCTGTAAGATACGGTGTCTAGTATTGAGGGGTGGGCATTAATACCTGTAAAGTAACTTTGTCTTATTCTAGATACAGTAAGCATCCGTGAACCTAGTGGATTATACACCCGGGTTTAAGAACCTTAGGGGTGAAGTTTTGGAATTAGACTCCCTTCCAACAAGAACCAATTCAGCCTAAGAATTGGAAAAGGTTGTTTTGCAGATCATAAGAAAATTAAAAATGGAAAATTATGCAACAGATACGTACCAATCCTTCGCTATGTATTTTGTAAAATAAACTAACATTGAAAAGTTTAACTTTATGCAGTCGTTTGTGAATTTAGTGTTTTATATTCCTACTGAAAATATTTAAAGATGTTGATCCAAGAATACGTTGTGGTGTTCAATAAAACTCTGGAAGAGCACTATGGATATGAACAAACTTTGAAAAAAAATTAATGCCACTGTCACACTGTCAGAGCTCATAAAGCCAAATTTTCCGTTCAATCTCGTTAATCGTTTTATAAGAACTCATTCAGACTGAATGGCAAAATTATAGAGTCTTTTACGCAGTTTTTGCTATAAGGTACATTTTATGACAGTAGCCAGTAGTAAGATATTGCAATGAGATTATTTTTTGAACTATGCCTTGTAGTTACAAGATTAAATTGGAACTAAAAGATGTACATGTCTTTCATAGGTCTCATAGGTTACTTTTTCAATATATACTCAAAATACCAATATTTGCACCAATGAGATGTTTCTTTACGGTCTAGGAGCATCTCGATTACGAATTGATACAATCTACAAATCCTGATTTCAACAAAGCTGTCGTTAGAGTCAATGTATTTAGGGAGCATCGACAAACCATCCAGGTAACGTTGTGAAATCAAGTTAGAAAGATTACTGTACTTATTGAACCTAGTGAAGCACACATGTCTTAGCGATTTTGCCTACTTAGAAGCAGAGAAGGCCAAGGGCCGCGGAGCATTTTACAGATTGAGGGGGCTTAAATGTTTTTTGGGGGGTGCTTAACATGCTAGAATCAAATACAGGGCGTATTTTTGTAAAGCTTTAAGTCTATTTTGGAATTTATTGGTTAGGGAGGGGACTACACCCCCTGCTTCCACGCTACCTAAGAAGGCAGCAGTTTTGAATATATATACACAGAATATTTGTCAATCTGCCTATTAACTGCACTATTTTCCCCTCATTCTTCAAAGCATTTACATTTTTCAAAATGTTGGTTCGTAATTCTTGCCTGTGATGCCCAGCCTTCTGTTGTCTCAAGTGGTAGTGTACTCTCAAGTGGAAATGCTTATCCTGGTTTTTGAAACTGGATTTCAGGAATCGCTCTATTTATTCATGCAATTGAATTTTTAAAAAAGCCTGTCGTTCAGTTAGTTTTCGTCCTAAAAAGTGTAAAAAGATTTGAAAGCAAAAGATTAGTAAATTGTGATTGCAACGTCCTACCGGATGGAATTTATATATGTCACACTCTCGGTGATAGAATTGATAGAACATTTTTTGGAAATTCGTGGGGGTTTAGCTATTACAAAAACCAACCAACTTTCTCAGCTATTCGAGTGCTGACTATAATTCACAATTTTGTTTTTCTCAGTACATTCACCCATCTGATGCACACAAACTTGGCCAAGCTGAACTCGTTGTTATTGATGAGGCAGCAGCCATACCGCTACCTCTTGTCAAGAAGCTACTTGGACCTTATCTTGTGTTCATGGCATCTACTGTCAATGGGTATGTTTAGAGTCTCTTTGCAACGACATTTTTTTGTCAAATGAATATACATAAAGGCAGGCTCGAAAACATTTGACCTTGCCCTATGCCCTTAAAGACTCATTGCTAACAATGAGCCTTTGCGAGGGTGGCAAATTATCCAGGCGACAATCCAAACAATGGCAGTAAACTTCTACGGATAAACCATAATTTATTTCAGACTGTCTGAAAATGCATTATGGGATGCTTGCGTAGCGCAATGGCTCATTGTTAGCAATAAGTCTTTAATTTGTTTCTTTATAATTTGCTCTTAGACTGGTTTCATATAAATATACTATGTTTTTTTACATAGGAGCTTTAATCGCAACCATTCCACTTAAAGCAGTGTTTGTTTACTGCAATTTGACTTCTTAGGTTAATAAGCATGTTTTTTCATTTAACTTGTATATGATGTTTTTTAAACTATAATCAGTGCTTTAAAGAAAAGGAAATCTGAGGAAAAAGGAAATTTGCCAAAAAATGTTGGTTGGCATTATATACTTAAAGCATTTTTGTATTTGTGTGGTTTTTGCCCATTAAAAGTTATCAATCCTATTTTTGGTCTGTCAAAGAGAAGTATCGTATTATACTCTTGACATGATAACATACATGTAGAAAAGCGTTAACTGCTAGTTTCTTTCCTTCTTTAGTTATGAGGGCACAGGACGCTCACTTTCCCTTAAACTCATTCAACAATTGAGAGAAAAGAGTGCAGCTAGTAGCAGAGCAGCCTCCAAAAATGGAGACGCATCCAAAACGACAGACACTGCCACGCCGGGTGGGCGTTTGTTGTTGGAACTGTCGTTGAATGAGTCAATCAGATATGCAAATGGCGACCATGTTGAAAAATGGTTGAACGAACTATTGTGTTTGGATGCTAGTGTTGTCCCAAGGATCCACTCGGGCTGCCCAGTTCCAGAAAGTTGCGATTTGTATCCTTTTGTTTTTTTCCAAATTTATTCAAGTCAATCCAGTTTTTTTTCAGTTTTGTTAAATTTCAAGTGTTGCTGCAAAAGCTGTGTATAAATGTGATTAGTGGAGCTTTTCGACAAATTGTTCAAAAGACAAAACCTCTGGTTTACTGGTATTTTGACTTGCAGTGTAGCATATTACTTTTGCACTCGCAGTACCCTTACTTTGACACATGCTCGTACTGTTGGTATAGAAACTCTTCATTCTGGAACCGCATTATTTGGGTTTTTTTAGAGATAAATTTCAGCGATTTTTATTTGTCAATTTAAGACATTCAGTTGTAAAAAATGTGACATTTCCATATAAATAAGAGAAACTCTTTTGTTCTGTTTCTGAATATTGTTTCTTTTGTGTAATGTGTTTTTTTACTGATGCATTTCCCTTGACAAGCTTTAGGTATTATGTCAACAGAGATACCTTATTTTCGTACCACAAGGCGTCAGAAGTATTTTTGCAAAGAATCATGTCATTATACGTTGCTTCTCATTATAAGGTAACAGTATTTGATGGATACAATAGTATCTGATATATTCTATAAGTATAGTTATTTCATTTGATGTAAAATGTTTTTAGTTAGTTTAAAGTTGCTATCGATATGTGGGCACTTTAGTTTGTTTTTTGACTCATATAAATTTATGAATAGTTGCAAACCTTTCAACAATCCATTTTACGGACAAAGGAAGTAGTGAATCAAGTTTAAGTCACTAGAAAGGGCTGTCGGGACCGGGGGCACAGGGGCAAACGCCTCTTCAACATTTGGGAAAATGCACATTTTCTTAGAAGTTGCCTCTTAAGGTCTTCTGGAAAGTGCCCCCTTTATATCGCTGCCCTTCCAACTTTGAAAAGCTTCACTTCTTACATACTTGTCACCAAAGGACCTCTGGAAAGTGTTTTGAGAAGCTTTTAATGTAGTTTTTCCACTGATCATCGTCAATATACTACCGGTCCTTCATACATTTCAGATTGGCATTTATTAATAGATATTTTAATTTGGATGTTTTTCGTAAACAGCCGTGTATTCACTTCTTTAGTGTGAAATGTTAATGACTGTATGTATTTGCCCTTCTAGAACACACCCGACGACTTGCAACTCATGTCTGATGCTCCTGCACATCATCTTTTCTGCCTTCTCGGCCCAGTGGACTCCAACCAAAAGACCCTTCCCGAGGTTCTCTGCTTCATCCAGGTGAGGCTTCTAGTAAATCATTGTCTCGTATGGTTTGAGTTGATCTTATCTCTTGATTTCAGATAAAAATCGTAAGCGAAAGGTAGTTAAGGAAGTCAGAAAATATCCCGGCGTTTTGAATTTTGACCTATTTATTTTTTTATAAACCATGAGTGTAAAATTTACTTTTTGGCTTAATCTGTTTCTTTCGTGTTTTTATTAGGTGAGCCTTGAAGGGGAAATATCAAAGGCAACTGTAATGAACAGCCTAGCAAGAGGTAAGCGGGCCTCTGGTGATCTAATACCCTGGACAATATCTCAGCAGGTGAGCTCTTTGTATACTAAAAGTATCCTCACACTTTATCTCACCGTCCAGAAATTTACTCACCCTTCCGCACAATATTTTCACCATTATTTTAATCTTCCTCCAAAGAATATTGAAGACAGAGTGGCGTTTTGGGCGTGATCCTTAATTTTCTTTAGTTTTCAATGGCCCTCGTCACGGTCTTCCAACCTCCTCCCTGCAGGGACTGCCATATTTTTTCGGCTATTCTTTGTTTGTCAGTATTTGTTTGGGATTCATGTCATTCAACATCGATCAATCAAAAATCAAAAAGCATGGGTATCTAAGTCTAATTTTATTGCGCATACTCTCTAAACAAAAGGACAGAAGGCTGGTCAGTAGCTTTCTCGTTATTTTGATTCAATCATTGTTACTAGCAACACTGTTTCACGGTGTACAGTTTAGAAAGAGCGCTGAAAATTGGCGCCATAGAGTAGGAGGACTTAACGTATTTAATCTTGAGTATAAGGTCTATTTCAATGACCAAGTAGCCCTATATCAATTTATCGCGAGTACCCCTTGATACTGAATCTGATAGAATTCTTTGTTTACGTCTTATTGGTTAATCTTGATTCAGTTTTTTTGTATCGTTCAATGCTTCAAACTAAAGAGTAATCCAGCCAAAATATTTGACTACTTTTACAGTCACGCAGTTTCTGTTGCATTGAGATTGATGAATTTTGTTTTGGAAAAAATAAGGTTATAGGGTTAAAAAGCTACCGAAAAAATCAAAAGCTGGAAAAGACGATTTTCGGTAACATTTTGGACGTCACATGGTTCGGTTTTCGTTCACCGTGAATGGCTTTGGGCATCAAAGTATCTTTAAAATGCAACCGAGTTATCCGAAATCAACCGATTTCATGGTGTTTCTCTTTCAGTTCAATGATAGTGATTTTGCCAGTCTCTCTGGTGCAAGAGTTGTGCGAATCGCCACCCACCCAGAATTCCAGGGGGTATGTGTAAAGACGTTGCTGCTTTAATCATACTTGTTCATACTAACCGTAAAAGAAGCAATGCGTTTTCTCGTAATTTCTTTAAGCTGATTTTTGCCATGAAGTGTAATGAACAATATTTATTGCGACCCTTCGGTCCATACCCGAGCTACGGTTGCCTACGTGATCTTCTTTCGCAAAATTTCTCATTTCTGGAAAAATTTATCTTTGAAATAAAGAAACACATTTTTAAATTAACATTTTTTTTCGCCACATTATATCCACGCTCAATATATTATGCAGATGTTTCATGCCATTAACTATATGGGCGAGTTAAAACCTTTAATTATTTTATTAATTTTTTTTTTCTAGATGGGATACGGCAAAAGAGCCCTTCAGCAGCTTGTGGCTTACTACGAAGGCAAAATACCTAATATAACTGAAGATGGTGACGATTCAGATGCAGAATTAAACAGAAATACAGAAATTGAAACAGGGGTATCTTGTCTACAAGAGCACAAGTTTTTCTGTATTGTCTAGCCATTTTGAATAGCAATTTTGGCTGGTCTATAGTTGGGGCTCAATATTTAGTTATTTAGATGTTTGGCGAGTTAACTCCAGTTTTTAAATGTATCATAAAGGCAGTTTGATAACAAAATACTTACGAAAGATAAGTTAAAAGACTTTTTTTACATTCTAAAAAGTTTTATGACAAGTTACTGAAATACCTTAAACTACTTTACAAACACTACAAAGACGATACCCCGGGGAGCATCAACTCTGACTACCCTGGGGCCATATCATAAAGGGAAAATAAGAGGGGGTGGGTTGGTCTATGAGAAGTAAGCTTTAATCGAAACCTTTGGTTTCAAAAATATACTTAATTGTGAGATTTAAAATTAGCTTGTTAGCTTCAAAGGCCAAATCTTTATTTCCATATAAAAGGATTTATTGTCATCCTTCATTGTCATCTAGAGCCTCAGGTTTACCACAAGCTTTGATTACATTTTTGACACCAGCGAGGAGATTTTATCCAGGTTCCTTAAAGGAATGGCATAGCAGCAAGAAATGTTCCGTATCTTCTATGCCATCGTTTGTTGGACATAGTGGGTTTATTGTATCTTTGAAAATATGCTTGAATTTATGGAAATTTAGTTTGCTTAGTCCCACCTTTAATTAGTTAAAAGACGGCACGCCAACAATGCCGTCTCAAAATTTAGAATCAAGGCCATCGTATACGGGCAGTCTTAAATGAACTGATCAAAGCATTTTATGGAAATATCGTAAATCCTCAAATTAGCCTCCTGAGGGCTTATTGATTTTCGATATTTTTGGACGGGGTCTTATTCGAGGGGGGGGGGGGGCTTTTAAAATTATTGTTGGCATTAAGAAGACATTATTAAAAGACCTCGTTTATTTTAGTAGGCATTGCTTTCTGAGCATTTAATTAATTAATACCAAAAGCATGAATTTTTGTGGTAATTCAATAAAAAGTCAAAGGCAACCTCAGATGGCAACTATCATCAAATTTTGGGGTCCGATTCGAGAATTTACGGTAGCAGTGGGGGCTTATTTGAAGGGGGGCTTATTTACAACCTGTAGTTGGGTGGGGGCTTATTCGAGGGGGAGGACTTTTTTTGAGGGAAGGGGCATTTCGAGGATTTTCGATATATGCACTTAAGTTGTCATTGTCTGGTACCATTAGACCTTACTTTTGGAAATCACGTTTTATTGGGATTCTAACAGGCTTTTAGAAGAAATTTTTACCAGCATCAAAATTTATGTTTTTGGCCAGATTGAACAACCATTTTAGCAATATTTTATAAATTTATCTACTTTATAGGGATAATTTCAGAAATGTTTATAGAATTTCTTTTGCATGTTTACGGCTGTGTAGTCAAATAGTTAATTTTTGTTTAGGATGCTGATATACTTGAGGAACATATCGAGCCAAGAAAAGACCTACCACCGCTTTTGTCAAAGCTGAGTGAACGAAAGGCTGAAAAACTGGATTATGTAGGAGTTAGTTTTGGCCTAACTGCAGAACTGCTCAGGTTTATTGCTTTTAATACAATTACCATTACAGATTCATTTAGCCCCTCTTACTGTAAAGCCCTCCTCTCTTTCAATCACTTCATCCAATTCAATAAAATATATCTTAGATAAGACCCTGTCACTTTGGGGGCCTCCTAATTGCATAACGCCAAGTTCAAGAATTATAAAATTTCTGATTATAAAAAATTAGAGGCTGATTATAAAATTTCTAGCTTGCCTTTTTAAATTTCAAATTCCTGTTTTCCAAAGTCAAACCTCTTCTCTCAGCTCTGCGTTTAATTTCTCTGGCAGCCTTTTGAGACTGACAAAAAACAACAGGTGTTTCCTGCGTGGCTAGTCCATTTTGAAGCATTCTTGGTCCAATGGCTGTGAATCTGAGAAAACCAGCTTTTTGGTACCGTGTTTAATATCGTAGAGATTCATCCTAAATGCAAATGCATTATGCCGCCCTTCAACTTGTAAAATCAGCCCCCATTTTGTAATTAATGGGCCCGCTTTTAAGCCCCACCCTAGGACATTGGAAATTTAAGTCCCTGTGCCTGGCTGGGTTTGAAGTAACTTCCCCAGTAACCTTGGATACGATTCAATCATTCAATTTTATACCGTGTATATCGAAATAAAATTCATGGCTTCATTTCTTCCTTATGCCCATACTGGTCAAAAAAATATATTGAATATTGCCTTATTTGAAATCATCTTGCTTGTTCCGATGGATCTGACTTTTTTGAAGCTTTATTCCCTCCAAATCTATATTTCATCGTAGCTCTAGCAGGCTTTGTTATACAAGGGCGAATTTGTTCGTCCATAAAACTGAATTATGCAATCTAGAACTTCGCTTGAGTTTTTGCCAAATGCCCTCAGAGTCTTTTGCAACAGAGATCTAATTATATTTCCATCGAATATTTTCGTCGATAAGCCCATCCTCCTTTCTGCTGTGTCACTACGATCGCTGTTTCATGCTTTTTTTGCCTTAGAACAGAGTTTTTAGCTGTTCCTGATGCATTTTTTATCAATTTGTGTAACCTTTTTATCGCAGATTTTGGAGAAAGAGTTTCTTCATTCCGGTGTACGTACGTCAGACAGCTGTAAGTGTCTTGTTTTTATTACACAGTGCACGACAATATTATGCAACTTGCGATGTCCTTTGTCATCTTATACATATGTATTTATTTTTTTGCTCAAATCAACATATTTTGAATTTAAACATAAATTATATCTCTGTCTATTGATCTTTCAAAATGAATCTTTTGAGCATTTTGAAAAGTTCATTGAACGAAAGATCGTTTAGAGCCAGTAACATAGCCGGATTTTGATCTATCTGCATGGATTTTGACTCAGTATTCAAGCAATTTTGATCATATAATAATTTGAAAAAAAACGGTCCAAGAAAAACACTTTATGAATCCTATCAATAACTTTATGATGTGAATACTTTTTCGTAACTTATATCAAATTGCACTTTTTGGACAACTTATTATTTGTCTCATTCTTAAACCTTCGCACACCCTCTCTAAAAACTCTGGCCACGCCACTGCTCGTAGCCATTTCAGTTTCAAGAACTACGTGTTCTTTATATGTGTACCCTATAGAGGATGTTACTTTTGTTTTCAAGAATGACTTAACTGGGGAGCATACATGTATTATGCTGCGGACGCTAAATGAAGAAGAGATAATTGATTCGGACGCCCTGTGGCTGAAATCATACTGGCAAGGTACCTTTATATATCTTAAAATAGTTCTTACCATCTTCTCTGGTTTTATGTATGTAGTACATTCAGATGAATTGGTTTGTTGTTTGAAATGCGGAAAGAAAAAATATTGTATGTTTGAAAAGCCACAGTAAGTTTGCAACCAGTTCCACAAAACAAAGGACTCGTCTAAACAACGGACTAATCAAGCAATGGAACGTACCTCAAACAACGGACACCTCCCAATCAACGGACACCTTCCAATCAACGGACACCTCCCAATCAACGGACACCTCAAAACAGCGGACACCTCAAAACAGCGGACACCTCAAAACAGCGGACACCTCAAAACAGCGGACACCTCTTAACAACGGACACCTCTTAACAACGGACACCTCTTTACAACGGACACCTTCTAATCAATTCACAAATAGTCATGAAAGCTCTTTCCTATTGATCTCTATACAGATGTTTTGCTATAGGAGTGTTGGAGATTCATTGGCAGTTTCCAGATATGCCCTCTACAGTCCTTCTCAAAAGCTCTTTTTAGCTTTAAAATGCTCATACCGCATAATTTCGCAGTTAACTCCCCCTTCCCTAAACAACACTGATTAGCATTCGTATTTGACATCAAAAGGCATGATCTTAAAGCATTAGCATATGAATAGCCAACATTGTTTTGGGATTGGAATGTTTTGCAGGGATGGTTTCTCTGGTTTTCACTGTAAAGTGAACGAAAAAATGTTACGTAAAGTGGCTTTATATAACTACTGGCAAGAAATTGATTATTCGATATAAAATGTTGCAGACATTCCTGACTGTTAAAAAGTTGTAAACACTTCTTTATGTTAATAACGTTTCCTTACAACTTGCTTTTATTCATGCAATAAGTTATACTAGCTGTTTTAAAGTGCCTTGCTCTTTTCTTCTTAGACTTCAGACGCAGATTTATTGCATTGCTTTCCTACCAGTTCCGTGAATTTACCGCTTCTCTTGGCCTTGGTGTTCTACAAAACAAATTCACAAAAGAGTCTGATTTTTCAGGTACTTGATGTATAAGTTGTTAATTAGATACCAAATGCAAGGGTTTTGCTTTCCTGGATATTTATTCCAAATCACAGCGTTGAATTGAAGCATTTATCCGGTTTAAACGAAGCTTACAATATCACATCATAATTTCAGAACTATTGTTACTTTACAAGTTTCCTTCGTTAGATTGCAGTTACCCAGTAGCTTTACATTCTATATAATTTATGCTCATTGAAGTCCATCAGTGCTGTCTCAGTTGTAACTTTGAAACCCGGGAGGGAGCCTTATTTTGCCAACGTCTATTAGGGGGGGGGGGGGGCTTATTCGAACGGAGGGCGTATTCGAGGACTTAGGTACGTGTTTGAAAGTCTTTACTAGCCCAGACTAGCCCAGACTAGCCCAGCTTTTGACTTAGATGGGACTACAGTTTGCTTACTGATACAACCTCCATTATACAGGGCAGTGTGGATATTATCTGGACCATTCCGGAATTACCTGATTTTACTCTGATAATCGTTGTCACATGAAAGCGTTGGTACATAAAAATACCCCTACTTTTGGTAATTTGCAACCATCTTTCTTGCGTTACGAGACCTAAAACGTCATTAGAAGATCCGTGGAAACTGAG